GTTAGTATACGTTCCGTTAATTCTCTTTCCATGAATACGGTCGAGCTTCATCAGACCCCATGGTCGCCACCTAGGTCAGTCTTTCTTCATCAACCATGGAGGATGGTCGCATCCTCCTCCATGGGACCTTCCTTTTTTCGGCCACACCCAGGGTCACAGGTGTTCAGTTCAACCGATACGGTTCACTTCACTCACGTGTGTCTCTTTGGGTGTTTGCCCAACTTCTTCATGGTGTCTACCTTTTCTAACATATATATTTTTCTCAGCCTCGCAGATTTTTAATAGAAATTGCGAAAAATGCTTTTTATGGATGAAAGCGATCCAGGCAGTGATTTTGCCTCCTTTTATGAGGGTGAATCACAGACACAACGCGATTTTACAGAGGATTCTTTTTCTTCTCCGGTGGAGCAATGTTCTTCTGAGGAACCTATCTCCAATAACGCCGGTAAGTCTTTCTTGAAAAATTCGCCCAGGTTTTTATCCTGTTGGCTATTCTGGGAAATATGTGGTGATGATGCCCTTTTCCCATTTATGGTGGCTATATATGCCCTTTGTGCATATTTGAAAAGAAAACCTTTCGGTTTCTTTTTATTTTCTATAGTTGTTCAACCACCTCGTAAACGTCAAAGAGTGGATGACTCTCTAGACGGCAGCGAATTGGCTGATCTTGAAGTGGACTTACTGCCTGCTTCTAAGGGCCCCACTCTTCGAGAATGTGTTCGACGCCATCAAGAGCTGTTTTTTGCTGAACCCTTTGTTTCAAGTGCGCTCACTCCAGCTTTTCTGGACAATCTCGAGAAGAATTTTCCACAACCTGTAAATTCTTCTGCTGGTGTGGTTCCACGTACAAACCCACCAATTTACAAAAGTTTGCCAATCCATCATCAACAAATGGATGTGCATTTTCAAAGGGCTCAGAGAGCCATTGCTGTTACGCATCGTGTGCTTGTTGATCTCCTTGATGATCTACTTGCTGATCCAGATCGCAGAAAGAAAATTTCAAATGCAATCAAAACCAACGCAACTTCTTATCTTCTTGTTGCTGACCACAGGCGCAAAGCTATTGCAAAGGGACTCAGACTCCAACATCCTCCATTTGCTGCAGCACTTAAGGCCGGGCAATTTACATGCCAAGTGTTTGGAGAGAACTTGGTTGATCTCTCTGATAAGGCATTGTTGGACACAGTCGCTACAGCCACTGCACAAGAAGCTACCATACGTTCTGCAATCAATGCTGCTAAGGGCTTCAACAAACCAGCTCTTCCTTCTGGACAACGCAATTTTTCTCGTGCTGGAAGTGCTTTTCGTGGCTCCTTTTCTTCTTCAAATTCAACTCGTCATTCGAGGCCTGATCAACCCAATTCGTCTGCTTCCCAGTCTTTTTTGGGGGATGGCAGGTCCAAGAATTTTCGACAAAGGACCTACTCCAACAAGAACACAGACAACCGCAGGGGTCAATCCAGACAGAACAATTTTCGCCGAAATTGAACTTTGACCCTAAGGTTAGTTTTCCACTTGGTGGACGTTTGAGGCATTTTTTGCCCTTTTGGAGAAACAATATTACTTCAAATCCTTGGATTCTTAAACTTGTCATGGGTTTTAAAGTGGATTTCATATCCCTTCCTACTCCAGACTTGTCTTCTTCCAATCCTAGACCTAAGAGTCTTGAAGAAATTTCTGCTATTTCAAAAATGATTCTTGAACTTCTGGAATTGGAGGTTATTTTTTCATGCGTCCCTCCTCCAGATGCTGTTATTAATCCAATTTTTGCTGTTAAGAATCATAATTCTACATATCGTCTGATTCTTAACAGTAAAAGGGTTAATGATACTTGTGTGAAGAAAATCCATTTTAAAATGGATACTCTTCATATGGTTTTACCTTGTATACAGAAGGGTGACTGGATGACATCCCTAGATCTTACAAAGGGTTTCCATCATGTTCCCATTCATCCTGATCATCAAAAATTTTTTATTTTTCAATGGCAACAAAAATTTTATCAATTTGTTTGCCTACCTTTTGGTCTTACTGAAGGCCCAAGAATTTTTACTGTGATTATGAAAGCATTGTTAACAATGCTTCGTATCAAGGGTTTTCGTGTTTTTTCCTACATTGATGATACCTTGATTGCTGCTCCCTCCTTGTCTTTAGCCAGGAGTCACACTTCAGAAATACGCCAATTTTTTGAAAATGCGGGTTTTCTAATCCATGACAAAAAATCTGTCTTCAATCCTTCCCAAAGAATTAAATTCTTGGGTTTTATTATTGACTCTGATTTGATGGTTCTTGAATTACCTCAGTCCAAGTGGAAACGTCTTTCAGATGATTTAAAGTTTCTGCATCACCATCTTTTTCAAAAAATTCCAATTTCTGTCAGAAAATTTGCCCAAATCATTGGTTTTCTTGTTAGCTGTGCCCCAGCCATTCCTTATGCTCTTGGCCATTTTCGTCTTTTACAAGAAGCCAGACAAAAGGCCTTGATGTCTGGATTAGACTGGGATGAATTTTTTCTTCTCCCCTCCTTTATTTCTGATGACCTTCATTGGTGGTTGTCCTTGTCACCACCTCTCAGAAAATCATTTGCACAATGCCCTGTTTCCCATGTAATTTCTACTGATGCTGCAACTTCAGGAGGTTGGGCGGCAACTTGTAAACAACTCAAGGTTGCTGGTGCCTGGCGCAATTCTGAACAAGGTCGTATCGATCTTTTGGAACTCAGAGCAATCAGATTGGCTCTTCAAACCCTTCCTTTAGATTGGCATAATGCCAATATTCGTTTTCGTGTTGACAATACCACAGCTGTTTGTTATTTTAATAATTTTGGAGGAAGAATCAAGTCTCTGGACACAGAAACACGTCTCATTTGGAAAATTTTAGAATCCTTCAATGCTACTGCCTTTTCTACTTACATACCTTCAAAGGACAATCCTGCTGATGCCCTTACTAGGATTTTGTCTCCTAAACAGGCAAACAATCTTGATTCCGAATGGAAACTCAAACCGCATATTTTTCAATATATCTGCAATTTTTTCAATTTTACTCCTGATGTTGACTGGTTTGCTTCTGATGTCAACACTCAACTTCCTATTTTTGCATCACGATTTTATGAACCCAAGGCAACTTTTATTGATGCATTTGATTCTCTTTGGAACTATTCTACAGGATACTTATTTCCTCCTTTTTGTCTTTTGCACAGAGTCCTGGCAAAGATCATCGAAGAAAAGCCTCAGGTTCTTCTCATCCACCCAAGATGGCCCTCTCAAATGTGGTGGCCTCTTCTAGTACGGCATCGAATTTCTTTCCTCAACCTTCCACCTGCAGCAGAGAGTCTACATCTCCCAGAATTTCCTCATCATATCCATCGGATTCACAAACTACCCCTCCAATGCTCGGTCTTTTCCCAGCTATGACAAATGTCCCTCAACAAATTGTTGAAACAATCAAGGCTTCTTTGTCACCTTCTACGGTTCGACTCTATGACTCCTATGTCTTACGCTTTGCAAAATTTCTCCTTTGTCGCAATATCCAGGTTCAAGATATTGATACTGTCATTATTTTGGAATTCCTAAATCCTTTTGTTTCCAGGCTTTTTTCCTTTTCTTACGTCCGTTCTCTTTTGTCTGCAATTTCTCGAGCAGTCAAACTTCGGAGACCTGATTTTGTTTTGGATCATACTCTCACTAAGCATTTCATGGCAGGTGCTAGAAATTCCTGCCGTATTTTCTCTCGAAATTCTGTTATTTGGGATGCTCAACAAGTTATTGATTTTCTTACATCCCAACCTTTCCCTGTCTCTGTTTCTTTACTTGCTCAAGAAACTATAACAATCTTGGCTTTGGCTTCTGGGTTAAGAGTTGATGATTTGTGGAAATTGGGGGCTACTCTTTTTCCCCAGGGCAGAGGTTTCTTCATTCCATTTTTGGAACACCAAAAAACCTCAAGACGTCTTCCTCGTCCCAGATCTGGTGTTACCATTGTTCCATTTACTTCAAATAGGGTCTGCCCTATTTTCCTCCTTCAAAAATATTTGGAATTCACAAATTTTCCACAACGTTCAAACTTCCTGTTTGTCAGGTCTGACAATGGAGATCGAGCAGAAAAATCTACTCTTCGTTCCTGGCTCGTTTCAACCTTACAAAGAGCAGGAATAACTGCTCCACCTGGTTCGACTAGAGCAGCTGCTGCTAGTTTTGCGCATGCTCAAAATCTCTCATTTGATCAAATTGCTCAAATGACTGGTTGGAGACAACAATCCACCTTTGCCATACATTATAAAAGGGCTATTATCAAGAAGGGTGGAAATCTTATGTTACCTCATATTCCTCCAACGGAATGATCATTTATCCTACATTTTATTGTGGTGTTTGTTACTATATTTTGTTATCTTGGTGATGTTCCTGTATGCTCATGATTGCATTTTTATTTTTGTTTGACATGAACATATATATTTTCATTGTCATTTTAAGGTGTTTTCACTTTTTCACCTTTCTCTCCTCCATGGTTGATGCACAACAATTGCTCAACCTGGTTCTGAAGTTTCATGGAAAGAGAATTAACGGAACGTATACTAACACAGTCCCAGGCCAGTGAAACGTCAGGCTGGGACCTGTTAGTGTAAGTGAAGTTAATTCTCTTTACATGATCCCTTCCCTCTAAGCCACCCGTTAGAAAGGATTCCTTTTTAGACAGTTTTCACAATCTGTCGTGGTTAAGAGATTTTAGACTGGATCCACCGCTGGTACCCCAGACTACTTCGAGCTGGCATAAGTACATTTCTCTTAATTGAAGTGAATGTGATTGTCCAGGGTCGGACTGCAAAGTGACCGGACCCTGACACTTTTGTCGTGCATCGACCACATTTAAAAATTTTTCAAATCCCAATTTTTTGATACCTTTGAGTACTACCAACCTCCTTCCTCCATTAAATTTCCGTTCAAAAACCCAGAGGTAACTTAAATACATTGACTGATATTTTTTCTTCGTACATACACATTTTTTTTTTCGTGTGCAGGCCACATTTTTAAATTTGAAAACCCAAAATCGTCAACGACCACCCTTCCTCCATGAAATTCCCGCTCAAAATCCAATCTACGTGCCTAGTAATCCTTGTTCGCTCGAACACGTTCAACTGTCAGACAGAAACAGACTTGGCAGTGTTACACACACAGGCGCATTCATCGTCCCGCATTCCGAACATGGAACAGGCCAACGGCAGGCCAGGCCAGGCCACGGCTCAAGAGAGTCCTGATCCGTCTTCTGCGGCTCTCCAATCCATTTTCTTGCCTGCTACGTCATGCTACACAAATTTTCTAACCTCTCTCTCATTTCCCTTCGGAACAGAGCAGTATTGGATCCCCAGTGTTGGAATCATCTGAATTGCGGTACTTGCACGTCTACTACGCTTACCGCAAGTCCTGCTCGCAATGGGTCGTCGCCCGATTGACCCTGTGTCACTCGGATGCGGATTTGATGGCGAAATTGGAAGCTGTGATGGAAGAAAAGCTTTCCGGTACTGTATATTGCACCTTTTTTTCATAGATGACGCTTGAATAGGCGAAGATGAGGGATTTTCATTCGTTGTTTCATGTTTTCCTATTTTAAAATTCATATCAGATGTAACAAGTGAGACGATGTGAATCAGGTACAGATGCGAATTTTATGGCGAAATTTAAAGTTGCCATTGAAGAAGAGCCTTTAGGACTTCGTCTTGTGCTATATAGATGTCGCTTGAACGTGATCTAAGAAATATCTCTAATTTTCTTACGTTGATTAAATTTTCTTCCTACGAAGGAAAAAAAGCAATCTAGTGTATCAGAGGGTCAGATTGAGTCATATATGAATGTGGATTTGATCGCAAAATCAAGATCTGTGATGGAATAAAGTTTTCCGTGTAAGTTTCTTTTTGGTAAATGTCGTTTGAATACGGGGAGGGGTTTCTTTGATGATTCAATTCTGTAAGCCAATGTTTTTCTCATATAACGTTAATTTTAAAATGGGAAAATCCAAAGTACAGTATGTTCTAATGCTGATTTAATGGCGAAATTTGAAGCGGTGATGGAGGAAGATCTTTTGGGGATTTGTCTTGCGATAGATGTCGTTTGAATGTGGTCAAATTAATTTCTCTGATTTTCTTGCATGATTAAAATGACTGAGATAGATGAAATCATCTACAGATGAAGATTTGATGGTGAAGTTTAAATCTGTGATGGAATGCTAATTTTGGGAGTCTTAATTTTTCATAGATGTTGCTTGATCTCGCTGAAAGGAGTCTTACTAATTTCCCTTCATATTTAAATTTTGTTTCGCGCATGTTTTCCGATTTGAAAACAAGACATTATCAAATGTCCTGCAATATTGAGTCGGGTTGGCTGGAATACCTTCTGATTACTTTATATGTTCAAGCGACATCTACCTAGATTTTAGCATGCGTAGCTTTGCAGTTGAAAATCTCCGTCTTTTTGATTTCTCGAAGAACGCTGGGGTTTTATTTTTTATTCTTTGGTGACTTGGCATGTGAAAATATTTCGGCTTATCTTTTCAAGCCGCATTAAATCAAGAGAAAACTATTATTATTTTTCATTCAGGTGCTCTTGGCAGCCGCCCTAGAAGAGTTCTGGTCTTCATAAATCCGTTTGGAGGGCATGGAAACGCAGAGAAGATTTATTCGAAGAAGGTTGCTCCTATCCTCCGTCTTGCCGGAATCAAAGCTGATGTTACAGGTAATAATAGTAATAAAAAAATGAAAGAAACGAATAAAAATTGTAGCTCACATTTCCTGTAGAATTTAAAAATTTTGAATTCCAGCCGGGCCAGTGGAATAAATAAATTGGTCTATTTAACGCATGAATCTGAAATTTGTTCATTTTGAGTTTCTATTCCCGAAGAGCAATTTCTCATTCAATGAGTGTGAGATAAAAAAAATGATTCTGCCTTATACAATGTAAAGTATCGTTTAATACTAGAAGATGTGTTGGCGCAAGTTTTCATCGAAAAGGAGGTAATTCCTGACTTGTATTATGTATCCAGAGTTGAAAAACTCAACGAAAGTATTTATCGCTTTGTTTGCACAGAATTCATTCTGCAGCAGAAGTAAAGAAAATTTGTGCATTATCTTTTTGTAATTATGCCTCCTTTAAAAGAAGAAATCCTGAAGAAGTAAGTATTTTATCTACGCTGGTGGATTAATCTTACATATAGGTCCATAGATTTTAGTATATCGTCGGAACCAGAGGAAAATATGCGCTTTTTTTTTAATTTATGTAAATGGAAAGTTTTCACTTATCGTGCAGTAAACTGAAAACCCGTTTTTAAAATCCGAAAAGAATCCCGAAACCTGAGAATATCATGAGCAATTTCATGATTTTTTTTTTTAGATTTCGAACTTCTGTACTCTGTAAATATTAGACGAGGTTGCATCCAATCGGGACAATCCTCGTATCTCTTCGATCGTCAGAAGTACAAGTCGCTATTAATTGTGAAATGCCGCGATATAATTATTCTCGGTGCGTATTATCTCTTTTATTTCTAGTGACGACGAAAAAAGATCACGCTTACGAGTACTTGTCGACTGCTGAGAATACCTTGGAATACGACTCTGTCGTTGGGGTCGGTGGGGACGGTTTGCTGTCGGAGATTGTAAACGGATTGTGGACCAGAGTAGCCAATGAAGATCAGTTGAGATTAGGATATGAACCCGAAAAATGCCCGTTTCCCGTGGTTTTGGGTGTCATACCCGGAGGCAGCACCAATACCTTGGATTACTCGCTCAATGGCCGCTCTTGTCCAATCAATGCCGCCATCAATATTGCTTTAGGTGTGTATTTTCTCAATCGTATGCGTATTCGAGTGACACCTACCTGAATTTTGAATAGGATGCACAGGAATGAGTGGAAGTTCTGAAGAGACGCGTCTGAAATTTTTGTTGCTGATTTAGTGGGTTGAAATGGGGGATTCAATTTATTCCTACTTGGCAGCTGATGCTGAAGAAGTGGCATGCATGAAACTTTATAATTTTTGTTAAGGATTATGTAGGTCGGTTTCAGTTTTAAATTGCTCTGTTTTGTCAGTAAGGTATGTGTGTTGTTCGACTCAGTTTTACAGTGGATCAATGAAGGAATTGTACCTACAGTACTTCCAAATGAAGGATAATTATCCCATGCATTTTTTGAGTTTCTGCTTTAAGAAAAATCAAACCCAATTTTAAAGATAAAATTTTCGTAGATAGACTTTGAATTTGTGACTGACCTATAAAGGTTCCTTTTCCACCTGAATGACCATATTGAATTTGAGTTTTTAATCTTTATTTTCAGGTAGGAAGCTGAAGATGGATGTGATGGGAATCTACCAGAATGAAAAATTATCCAAGCTGTGCTTCAATGGCATATTTTATGGCTTTCTTGGTGATCTTATGGAGAAGAGTGAGAAGCTCAGGTTTTTGGGACCTCCAAGGTACAATTTGTCAGGTATGTGCCTCTGATTGTCATTTTTTCGTGCAGGAATATAATTTTATTGGATGCTTTGCGTGAGGCTTAATTTGAAAACCAAACTTCTTTAATTCTTTTACTGAACTTAATCCAGAGTATATATTTTTAGCTTTGTTTTAATTTTAGCGTGTTTTTATTGATTACTGGTTTTGCATGAGTAAGTTTTCAGCCGCATTACGTGGGCAGATACTTGCACTAAAATATTTAGATTACTATTTATTCTCTTATGAGCGTAAGCGTAGAAAAACTATAAAAAATTGCCGTTCGTTTGCTAAAAAAAATCCCATTTATTATACGTTTCCCGGTTTATTTGATGAATGATTCAACCTGATCTTTCCGGTTTTTAATGACTGAACAGGTGTGCAGACGTTTTTGAGTGATTGTAGAAAGACAGTGAAATACGAGTACAGAGGAGGCATTGAAGAAGACGCGTCGATGGGGAAACTTGAACCCAAATGTCAACGCCAATGTTCCACTTGTGCAACAGGCGATGAAGAAGTTTCCGCAAATTCTGAAGGTGATTTGGCGAATTCTTTTCTCATCATACCATGTCATTGTATGTGTTTCACAAAAACTGAGGTATTGTACTTGCGTGTATACTTCAAACTGTCCTCTTTTCGCGTTAGTTTTTAAAAATAAAAATGAGAACAGTTTGGTGATGGTATAGTTGTTTATTTTATTGATTTCAGAATGGAAGACAGTTGCAGGAAAATACATTCAAGTCAGTGCAATGTGTCACACGCTTTTGTCAAATGTGACTCCAAAAGGATTGAGTCCAGGAGCTCATCTCGGCGATGGCTTTCTTGACGTCATATGTGTCAAAAACTCTGCGAAATTCAACGTTTTCAGGTTTCTTTTTATGACCCGGTTTCTTCCGGAAGACAAGGTTAGTTCCGGCTGAGTCTACTAATATTTGATCCCAACAATTTCATAAATTTTACCATTTTTTGTGCAAGTGTTAAGTGGGATTTGGCGCATTTTTCATATTCTTTGAGTTGAAAATAATTTTTTTAATAATATGTGTTGTATAACGGGATATTTTAGCTGATCAATTTACCTGGTGGATTCTTTTTAGTGTAACTGCTGATTGATGATGTTTTAAAGCTTTCAAAATTTTATGAAGAAAAAATATGTGAAGATTCCCGATTTTATGTTGATCATGGAACTTTTATGCCTGATTTTATGCTTCTTTCCCTTGCCAGTTTTCCTTGCCTTTTGTCACGTTTTTGCGTGTGAAAGAGTTTAGGATTTTGCCAGGAGATTCTGGATGTTACAATTGTGATGGAGAACTTATTCCTGCGACTGATATTCACTGCAAGTGAGTTTGGGGATATTTTTCTACTGTCATCATCATTATTGTTGGATGTGTTTTCATCCTAATCATAAGTTTAAATGTCTCATATGCTATATAATGAAACTTCCAAAATTCAGGAAAGAATCTTAAGTGAGTTCTTGATTTACCATAAATGTTCTAGAAACATGCAGATCATTCGCGCAGGCTTCAAATAACCTCTCCATAAGAAAATAAAACAGACCAGATGAAAGTACAGAACTCATGAATCATCCCTTGGTATCATTTCTTGCTGATTGTTTTGAAATTATAGTGAGCATGATGATATTTTAACTTCATAATTTGCAAAATTTTGTGTAAAAAAAGTTGCAGCTGCCAAATTACCTGTTATTTTCATCTTCAAGGTGTAGTTTCCTGCTGAAATAGAAAAAGAGGGAATTGGTAGCACAAACTTTTTTTTGCTATTGTATTTTTGAGACTTTATATTATGGTTCAAAATATGAAATCTTGGCTCCTGAAACAGGGATGCAATAAGATATAAAATTAAATACTTTAGTAGCTGTTAGAGATTATAACAGAACCCAAAAAAAAATATGAAAGTGCATTGTAAAAGTGAAACACTATGATCAGCTTGTTTGTGGCCAAGAACATATATTCAAGCAGGCACCTTGAATATTTATTTGCAGTTTTTAGAGAATGATTTATTGTGTGATTAGATGGCAAAGAAATTGCATAATTTGGTAGGAACACTGAAATCACAACACCAGCAGTGAGTAAAAACAAATGCGGGTACGAATCAAAATCCATACACAGGTATGAAATATGTTAAAATGGAACCGGTTTTTTCCATAATGAAGACTGTGCATAAAGACTGCTTTTTAGTCAAAAATAAATTTCAGGGGGAGGAAAAACCTTTAATGGGTTCTTCTGAGTTAATTTTCTGTACAATAGTGGATGGGAAAACTTGATCAGTCCTGTTGTTCCTTGGAATCCACTTTGCTTTTCCTCAGCCAATATTTATGTCAAAAAGTGAGGAAATATTGTACCTGAACATATTGCTAAGTACAGTATTTTGTCTATTGAGCAATTTAAATGTCGCAAGTTTTTCTTTCAGGGTGTTCAGACAAATGCTGGAGGTCTACAGCCATGGCTGTGACACGGAAGAATCCAACATTGAAGAAGCCCCCCAGCAAAATTTGTCTGGAACAGGAAGTTGGTTCTCTCGACTCAGGGCCACATTTGAGAAGAACAAAGGGGACTTCCTTTCCAGTAACCCCAAGTCTGCTGGTGGGGATGGCTCTAGCTCTTCAACAGGTGGTGGCAGAGGAATAGATTTATTGCTGAGCTGGAGGAAGGATATCAAAGAATTTTCCTCGATTGATTCCTGAAGGGTTGTTGTTGGCCGTGAGAGAAAGTTTTCGTCATCATTTTATTATAAACAAAAAAAATTAGATTTATTTTGGGAAAGAAGAATAAAAGCAGAACAAATATGCAATTTTAGAAAAAGGTATTGAACGGTTTTCGGGGGTTCCGAATTTTATATCAAGTGGGAATCGGCAATTTAATTTTAGAAGTTTTGCTGATTTGTGTCTCGCATGTATGTGGAAGCAATAAAAATTTTGATTACTTTCTGTCGTATGTATAGACTTTCTGGGCGTTGTTTATTTAAGAAGCACTTTTGAAGCATAACTCTTCAATGCATGTATGTAATGTTCAGTTTTCCTCTATTTGACTTTCAAAAATCCGCGTTTAATTTATCATGCGAATTGTTGTGACTTATTTTCAGTGATTTTTTTCTTTATTACGAACTCTACTGCAGTGAATCGTAAGAGGATTTTCAATCATTTCGGATGTTCCAATTACAGGAGAATCTCATTACAACGAATATCGTTATGAAGACATGCATGATACTTTTTAACAAAGCTTTTTCAAGATCCCTAACATTACGTTGTAACGAGATTCTCCTTTACAGTATTTAGAAACGTGACTTTTTAAAATTACACTACATTATTGATGAGTAACCTGTATGATTATTTTGTGGGTTACGTCTGTTGAAACGGGTTCAGACTCAATTTTTCAAGAATTTTTGATTTTATAATTTTGTGATTATACTGTATTTTGGTAAATGCATACTTGAAACTGAAGCGTCAAACTTGATTTTGCCGAATAAATTTTATGCAGTATCGAATTCATCACTTTGAAATCGTGTTTTCGGGGTTCCGTATTTTAAATGATATGATGGGGAATCGGCGACTTGATTTTATAATCGTGTGTTTCACATGATTTTTCACATGTGTAAATATAAGATTTGAATCAAATTCTCAAAATTCGTGCATGAATGACGTATTCTTTATAGTAAAAATAAATTAAAATTTCGTGGTGAGTGCGTTTTTCTTGATAATTATTTGGATGTCCAAGGCAGGAAGTGTGGCAGTACCTGGGCACATGCATGAACGTGATGATTCTTCAGTAAACCTATTTATAAGTATAAAATATGTATTATGTTCGCGGGAGAATAAAAATGTCATGCGTATGTGCTGTAAGAGTGAAAGCCCACACTCTGGTGCTTATATATAAGCAGGAGCGATGTGACTTCACAGGAAAAATTCTTCATTAAATGCTGCTGGCGAAATTTTTTTAATGTGAAAATTTTACGTGCTAGAAATCTTTTTCATATTCTTTTTGTTCAAGTGCTGCAACGATTTGAACAAGGAGAAAATGTTATGGTGATGAATTTGACATGCGCATTTCAGTTCGACTGCATTTCAGATTTTTGAATAAATTATCTAATACAGTACCATTTCAGATCTGTAGATTATTACGTGGTTTCTCTGAAAACAAAAAGTGAATTGCATGTGTCTATTTTTTCATAGTGAAGGAGTCAATAATATTTTAAAATTCCAGGTGGGAATTTCAACTGCTGTTTGAAATTAAGATTGAAATTCTTCCTGCATTTTTTTTTCAAAAATGCATTTCAGTTTTATTTAATTCTCTGCTTTCTCCAGTCATCTAGAATTCTTGATTCAGGCTCAAGAAAGTCAAAAGGAATATCTGCTTGTGTTGATTCTAGAAAGTACACACACAAATATGAAATACTGCGTACTAGCTTTTGTGTTGTTCTCAGCAGTCGCGTCTGCAACTGAGTTCAAAGATTGCGGTGAGATATTAAATGTTTCATCAGCAGGACTGCTGAATCAATAAATTCAGATCCCATATAATTAATCCAGGAAGCATGGGAGTAATTGACTCACTTGAAATTCCTGGTTGCGTCGCACAGCCCTGCAAAATGGAACTTGGTTCAACCCAGTCACTGAATTTGAGATTCATTCCTTGTGAGTGAATTTCGCGTGAATATCCAACTGCGAAGGGTTCCAACAAAAGTTCTTGGGATAGAAATTGATGCTGAGGAAAATAAGTATTTTTCAGATAAAACATTCTTTGGTCCAAGAAGGAAATACTGTACTGTTCAGCATGTTTTTCCTGAACAATAATTGTTTTTCAGTTTCACTTTCTATCTTAAAGGGAAAAAATTATTGTTTAAAGAAAACTGTCATTGGCCCAAGAAAAAATATTCAGGTACCCTGTTTGACATATTCATGTGTTTTTCAGATAATAATTGTTCTCCAAATAGAAAGTGAAACTGAAAAACAATAATTGTCCAGGGAAAAAATATGTTGATGAGGGCTGTATTTTCTTCTTGGGCCAAAGAATATTTTTTCTGTACAATAGTTTTTTTCAGTTTCAATTTATGTTCTGAGAACAATTATTATATTCTGAAAAACTCATTAACATGTCAAACAGGGTGGCTGAATATTTTTTTGGGCCAAATACAGTTCTTTCTGCAAAAATTTTTCATTTCAGTTTCAATTTCTATTCCTACAAACAAATATTGTTTTAAAAAAACATACTTTGGCCCAAGAAAACAAAATCCAGCCCTGTATTTTTCCTAAATAATAATTGCTTTTCAACTCAGTAATATGCCAATTCAATTTCTATTCCAAGAACAGCACTTGTTAGACCTCTCTTGTAGTGACTCTTCTGAAAATCGTGGTTTCTTTTTTTTTGTGTGATTCAAGCTGCTGATTCAAGGAACCTGACCTGGAAATTGATTGCCAATTTAATGGGAGTCGACTTTGACCACGAAAGGTCGGGACTTATTAACAGTGATGCCTGTGCTGGCCTGGTTGAGGGATCCTGTCCCGTGACTGCTGGGGATCTTGTTGAAGCCTCGATGCATAACGTTAAAATACCTCGTTTGTTCCCAACGGTATGCTAAACTTACCGTATTTACTGGAGTACCACATGCAACTTTTTTAAAGGATGAAAAAAAGGGATTAGTGTCTTCTACGCTGCTATAAATATTCAAAAATTTATATTCATACGTGCGTTATGCTCAATTCTAATGGAAAATTTTGGACTGAGTTAAAAGAATCATTTTAATGGAAACAACAGAGAATTAAGTTGAATCCATGCCTAAATTCAAATTTTGGTCTTCTTTGAAACATTTCAGCTTTTAGTTTCATTACAAAAAAAGGGATGTGTTTCCTATAATACGTTATTAAGGAAAATTTTTCCACTGAAAACCCCTGATGCAGGTCTTGTGATACTTGAGTAAATGCGTAAATTATATACATAAACCTGCTACTAGCTTAATAACTATTATTATTTCATGCTCCACAGATTAAAATCCCTGTGGACATGATGATCCTCAATGACGCTGGATATGTGGAAGCATGTGCTGGCATTGTTGCAGAAATCACTAAGCCAGTTATTGAAAATGATTCACATAGCAGCATGCCTTGAATATACAAATGTATCATTATATGGTGTATATGTATGTGTAAAAAATAAAGGTCCAGATGATATTGTGGGTTGATTTAAATTCACCACAATGATATTCTTCTTCATATTAAAAAATATTTACCTGTAAAACCTTGTGTACATATATGTGCAAAAAGAGCAAAGAAATTGCTTTTTATATAATGAAGAAAAATATAATACTAATTTGCATTGCCAATCTCACAATTTTGATACCGTATACTGGCTTATTTTGTTGAAGTGGGAATATTTTCAAATACAGTATATGTACTATTTATCTGGAATGACATATCAAAGAATTTGTGTCATATTTTTGTCTTTGAAGGTGTTGGAAAAAATAAGTGATGAAATATCCTCTGTTGATGCAATTCCTACTTGGCAAATTATTTCCATAAAAACCAGCAGATTATGTTGCACAGCAACCATGAAAAAAGTCACTTCTGCTGGAGAATAAGACATTTTTAAAAGAGACTGAAATGTAGAATTTTTGGTATACTATCTTGGGATATGTATTAAAAATTGTCAGACAACAACTAACTTATTTTAAAATTGTATTAAAATAAAATGCTCTATAATCCATATTCAATATTCAAGAAATGCTGGCATTATAAGAGATTGCCAGATTATGACGTCCACGATAATTGTTGCTGGATGGTGAGTAATTTATGATCATATGAGCCCAATGCTACTTGGATGAAATTGGTTCCTTTGATGCCAAAAATGTTTGGCCTTTGATTATGCCTGCTTGGTAAAATACAGCAGTGAACTAGCAAATTAAACCCTTCCGATGAACTTGACATGTTTTTTTAAAGTAATATATATCAAGTACTCTAGATTTTTAGGGGGCTAAAATAATATCACTGCCCATTTCCAGATAAATTATCTAATACCTGCTGCAAGATTAGCATTTTATTTCCTGGTTCCCCTGAAAGCCACGAATGAATTCCAGCATGTGTCTGAGTCTCATGCTAGTCTCCTTGTTGCTGTTATCATTTACTTGGGGAGCAGTTGTATTGATACTCATGAGAAATTTTGCACATGAACCAGACAAACATTACTTCCTGAATTTTTTGGAAGTGGTATAAATTGGGTTGAATCCTTGACTTTCTCCAGCAGTTCATTGAGATCATTAGTTGTTCATTCAAATCAAAACCGTCGGAATAAATTGAAGGTTCACATTTTTAGTGTTCCAGCAGACAAAAACATGAAATACTTCATCATAGCTCTCTTGGCCAGTGTTGCCACTGCAACCGAGTACAATGAGTGTGGTAAGACATCCATTGCTAATATCAACAGAGTGAAGTTAACTTCAAGAATTGAGATTCATTATAGATTCAGGAAGCCTTGGGTCCGTCGAAAACCTTGAAATTCCCGGTTGCCTCATCCTGCCATGTGAAATGGAGCAGGGGTCAACTCAGTCAATGAATCTGAGATTCAGTCCTTGTAAGTCATCTGCAGATGATTCTTGTATTCACTGTACTGTATAGCTATACAGTAATTCTTTCAAATTTTGTTTTCATTTGATCATAGCTTCTGATTCAAGCAGCCTGACGTGGAAGGTGATTGCCATTGTTGCTGGAATCGAAATTGACTGGAATGGCATTGCCTCTGATGCTTGTGCCAGTTTGGTTGAGGGAACTTGTCCTGTGGCTTCTGGAGACCTTGTTGAAGCCACAGTCTCCTTGGCAATCTCTCCTGCCTACCCAGCGGTATGCTAGATTTAAAAAAAGATTTGTTAATTTTCAAATATGCTGGATGCATTAATACTATATTAATTCATGCTGAACAGATTGAGGTCCCAGTGGAAATGAAGATCCTCAATGATGCCGGAGATGTGGAAGCATGTGTTGGCATTGTTGTACAAATCACAAAGCCTTGAAGAAGAAGCTTTCCACCATGCCTTGGTTACAAAAATTTGTTCGATGTTGTACATTTACATAGATCCATTGGATTTTGAAATTATTGTGAATAAAAAACTGTGCTCCTTATCACTCCCCATCTTTGTGTCCGATTTTTTGGTTTCTGCATTTCTTGTGCATAATTATGCCCGAGCTCGCACTGTATATCGTATGCAATGATAGACACCATTTACGATGCAGTACTTAGTACAGTACTGTTTTCAATTCTACATCATCGGTACAATGCATCATGGAATGAGGGAAGAGCCAATTTCCCAATTGAATTCTGTGAGTAACTCGCGAGCACTATTAACACGATGAAAGTCGAATATGGTGGCTTTCTAGTATGGCTTCTCTCATTCCTCAGCTGTGCGGCGGCTAAGACCTTCGTGAGATTGTGCGCGATCGTGAACTAAGCGAATTCTTCGGTGTTTCTTGATATTAGTGTTAGGCGAACTGTTCTGGCCGTGTCTTGAACTCGAACGGGCGTAAGTGTTGCGTCTGAGTGGAGAAGAGTCTTGCATAGGCATGAATCACGTATATTCAGCGTGGTGCGTTTCTGTTCGATGTAGTCTCTGATCTGTGTTACGTCGAGTTCACCTGTGTCAGTTGATCGAGAAGGTGCATTTCCAAAGGTGAGAATGTCGATGTGTGTGGTTTCTGGCAGGATCTTTTAACCTATTGCGTCTATATAATGGATGCTTCGGGGAGTCTTTCCTGCTATATTATCGTTGTGGAAGAAATTATTTTGAACTTCAATCCACTTCTTGAAGCTCACTATTTCTTCCGGTACATCATTTTTGGTTGTCCAATTCACGGTTACTTGAGACTGACGCTCAATTTTGTTCGCAGGGCATGGGATCTGCAGAGAATTTACGTGCTGCGGTACTACACCATGGTCAACACATAACTTCACATATGTTCCTTCGAGTCGATTGGTTTCCTTGTGTCACGCATAGTTCGCGAGTTTTGCTCGGCTAAATCTTTCAGGCTTTTTTTTATTGCAGGATTTTGGGTGAACTGTTAGTGTGGACCCGCGTGTTCGTCCCAGGTATTGAACACACCCGAAGCAGAAATGGGTGCTTATAAGTACATACAAGAGCTCCATCGGAAGAAGCAATCCGATGTGATGCGTTATTTGCTGCGCCTTCGGTGCTGGCAATATCGTCAGCTCAACAAGATCCATCGCGCACCACGCCCGACTCGCCCTGACAAAGCTCGGCGTTTAGGATACCGTGCGAAGCAAGGTATTTTTTCAAGTTCTAATCGTTCAATTGTCCAGGTATTTTGTTTTATTGTATTCTAATTTTTCAGGCTTCGTCATATACCGGATCAGGATGCGCCGTGGTGGACGGAAGAGGCAAGTGCCCAAGGGCTGCACATACGGTAAACCGAAACATCATGGTGTCAATCAGTTGAAGCCCGTACGAAATCTCCAAGCCATTGCCGAGGTAAGATACACTCTTGAAAGCACTCCGTACTCCGATCACATTTTCTCATTTCTGTGAATGATTTTTCAGGAGCGTGTTGGTCGTCGTGTTAGCGCACTTCGAGTGTTGAACTCGTATTGGGTTGCTCAGGATTCTACCTACAAGTACTTCGAAGTCATCCTGATCGACACCTTCCACAAGGTAATTATTATAACTCTTGATTTTGAGTCGTGCTAAGTAGCTAACGAAGGGTCGGTGAACTTCTCAAAATCTCAATGAAGAACCCATGTACGATGAATTAGATTTTACAGTATTTTTAAAGAAATTTCGATCTCATTTGAAATATTGATGAGTCCAAATCAAGATGACTATTGCATTGATGCCTGTCGTGCTGACCCTTTGTTTCAAGATGAAAGTGTTGCAACCTGAATTAATCTGCAACTGATCCGAGTTTTGAGTGCAGAATGTTCAAAGATGGCGCCGTTATGTTCTATGTAGAATTTCTACTGACGAGTTGTTCGGATGAACGGTGGAAGAAGGATAGCAGGTTGTTAGTAGTGTACCTGGGAAAGGTCACCCCACAACCAATGGGTTCAAATTCGCGTTCCATCAGTTATGTTGGAAATACTGTCCTGCTTAAATTTAAAAACAGGATCGAGCGGAACGTGGACACATGTAGATCGCACTTCATTCACTGCTTCCAATGTGAAAACAAGCGGTAACTGCTTCTTTTTTCTTATGCGCAGTAGATTTCCAATGCGAGAAAGATTTGATTGAATCCATTAACGGCGTATTGTTGGATTCAGGAGAGCTGATTAAGTCTAGTAGATACCGTTCAAGTGAATATATTTGTCACTGGGTTGTCCTTCCGTATGTTAGTTTTTCCACCGTTCAAGTGAAACTTTTACGTTTACTGGTCATAATGGTTGACCTTCTGTGATTCGGAACGGTTGGAAATGAAACAGGAGCTCAATTGGCACCTTTTTTCTTTGTTGCAGGCTATTCGACGTGACCCGAAAATCAATTGGATTTGCAAGTCGGTCCAGAAGCACCGCGAACTTCGCGGCAAGACCTCAGCGGGACGGAAATCCCGAGGTCTTGGTCACGGTCGCCGCTTCAACCAGACTATTGGTGGTTCTCGCCGCGCGTGCTGGAAGCGCAGAAACACTCTTCAGCTCCGCCGCAAACGTTAATTCTCTCTTCTTGCTTTTCGTTTACTCGGGCGAAGATGGAACTTTGTTTGGTCAGGGGAAGAATAAAAACGTCCTGCGGTCCTGAGTGTCCCGTCTTTCCTCATCTAGATCCGTTTGATTTAACCTCTAACGTGTCTATCGTTAGTTTCAGGATCCCCTGGTGGGTATTGATGTCATTGCAGGGATTCCATGAGCGATGCTGCTGCTCCTCGTGACGTTGGCTGTTCTCTTATCCTCGTGTGTGTCGTTCTTCGTGACGCTGGTAAGTTTGGTATGATTTTGTGTTTGACCTTCACCCGTGGCTGATCTGACCACGGACATCATTTGCAGATTTGTAATAAGCTGAATGGACGGAGTCACGAGGAGGTCGCGTTGATAAACGAGCTCAAAGATCTAAGAGAAGCCGCGGCGTCGATTAGCGCGGTTGATGAGTTTGCCAAATATGCGCGTGCCCAGCGCGGAATAACGAAAGCGAATGATAAATTGAATGCCTTGGGTAACGATTGAGATTCTGGTGTTGTACATCGTAGAATAAGCAAATTTTATTCGTTATGCTTTCAGCGAGCGAACGGAGTGGATCTCAGTTGAAGCGTCGTGTTGTTCTGAACATTGGCTTTAAAGCTTTGCTGGTGAGTTTTCCATTCAACGAAGATGAGGTTCTCAACCTGTGGAGTCCATTTGGGGAGAACTTCCCAGGGGCTCCGTGTGGATGTCACAGGAAAATTAAAGGTTATGATAATGTAATTGCGTCTGAAAATAATGGGCAAAATCTTGTATCTTCGCAGTTGAAAGCAAAGATCTCAAACGAACCTGTTCTTAAGTTCGAAACCTAAAAGTATTTGTGAATACTTCGTAAGGCCTGAGGAACTTGGACGGTTTTGGGTGGGTTAGTCGCGTCCAGGACAATGAATTGAATTTACAATCATCGAATTTTTGTATTGTCACCCGTTTTATCCGAGATGAAGGTGATCTCATCAGGATCTCGTTCTACTGGAACTGTTCGAATGTAAGTAGGAAATCTTTCAAGTAAACTTTCCGAAGATCAAGGTAATTCACATGCTTTCTTGATATTGTCCCTGAAAGGTCGGGCGCGAAGATTCATTGAGCATTTTGTGAATGATGTCTTGTTATCAATGACGATGTGTGTCTTGATATACAGTAAATAAAATATCAAGATAGGGAAGACATCCCCGCAAGAAGAAATCCTTGTGCCTAATTCGTGTGATCTTTCACATCCAAGATTATTTCTGGAACTAGAAATCAGTCTTCCCGAGATCAATCTTGTTGATCTTTATCTGCGTAAGTTTATTTGACAAATTATCCCGAAGTCCGTCAGAAAAATTTTAGTTGAACAGACAATTTTGCTTCGTGAGCGAATTAATCAAAATCTTAGGTTTTTCGAGGTGTAAATCTATCATTTTATTCATTTATTTCTATTCTACTTTATTACAACAGAGGCAGAGTAATGGAATGGAAGATGTAGGTTAAATTGAATGATACTGTGAAATTATTCGTTTTATTTAGACAATTTTAACGATATATGTTCTGTTCGTTTTTCTCGAAAGGGCCTCGTCGTGGCGAGTTGTTGCTTCATTCAAGGCAGAACACCGATATTATTTTTCCCGAAATCGTGGTTCTGGCCCCTCAACTACCTCCTAACGTTCCCGAGCTTTGAGGGCACTGGCATCAGCTTACCAGTTTGGAGCATATTGCTAAATTTAACAGTCCTCCAAGCTAAATCCTTGGTCACAAGATGATGGACATTCAAGAACTCCGGGTTGCGCTTCCTTCGCACAAAGACCTCGTGCGACTTGCGACTCAATTTTCTCCAATTCTACACCCGGGCTTCGAAGAAATGCTAGTATTCGTCATCGAAGAATTGTTTGAAGATCGTTTCAGCGCAGAAGTTCAAGAAAAATCGGCTGCTTTGGTAGATTACATCTGGGAGCGGTTGAACATGGGCCACTGGGCTGATATTCCTTCAGATTTGCGACGATGTTATTCCCTATCGTCGTTAGGCAAAATTGTTACTTCTGCTCGAAATAAGGACTGGAAAAGTGCTCTTCGTGCTTGTGACATGGCATTAATGATGGGAGCTCCTTTCAATGAGGAAAACCTTCTCGGAAATCTGGCTGATAAGATCTGTGCTTCTCTAACTGAGAATATAAGCTTTGAAGCGTTTGTGAAGGACTCGCGGACGCCGTTTCCGGAAGTCGAAAGCTTCCGGAAAGATTTCATGCTGCTTGAGGAACTTCAGCGTCTTGAATGCCCGTCAATAGAAACCTTCGTCAGAGATTTCGTGGTACCCGGAAAACCAGTTGTGATTGAAAAGGCAGTGGAACATTGGACTGCACGGGAATGGTCTTTGCAGAGGCTGTTGAAGCTTGCAGGAAAGCGCTTGATCCCTGTCGAATTGGGTTCCAAGTACACTGACGAAGATTGGTCCCAGGGTTTGATGTTGTTTGAGGACTTCGTGAGCAAATACGTGGTGCCTGAGAACCCGGAACAAGTTGCGTATTTGGCCCAGTTCGACCTGTTCGCGCATGTGCCGTGTCTGAGAGACGATTTTATGGTGCCTGATTACTGTCTTCAAGAACCGGAGAAGGTTCGTTGATCTCGAAAATTCACATTAATTTCTTCAGGCCAACCATAGAAGTGTGATGATTTAATTACTCCCGTTTTCAAAACCAATGCGATTTTTACTGTAGTTATTTAAATCCGCGAATTGTCAGAAGGCACTGGGAGGGGAAAGCTGGTTTGTTTGGTAGAGGAAGAAGTGAGGTCTAAAACTCTGAAGGAGAAATCGGCGAGTGCTTTTGTGTTGGTATCTCAAGGATTTAAGGCAGTTCACAGAAGGTTGTAATTTTGCCGCAAAAATAAATGGATTATTTACGAGACATGAGATGTGTGAAGGACTGCAATTTTTTAGGACATGATCCTGTTGCACATGTCGTTGATATTCGATCATTTCTTGTTGACGAGAGGAATTCGAACGATGGGTTTGATGGTTGTTGGAGAAACGAAATTCTCATGATTGAGACTTGTTTTGTTTTATCCGGTGGGTATTTTACCTTTCCAAGGTTGACATAAACGCGTGGTTCGGCCCTAAAAACACGGTGTCGCCTCTTCACACGGACCCCCGTGGAAACTGTTTTGTCCAAGTTTTGGGATCCAAATACGTCCGATTGTACTGTAAAGAAGAAACACCTCGACTCTATGCCCACGACGAAGGTCTTCTGAGCAACACGAGCAGGGTTACAGACGCCGAGAACCCGGATCTTGTTGAATTTCCAGACTTCAAACTGGCTGCGGGCTACGATTGCGTCTTGGGGCCCGGGGATTTGTTGTACATCCCGCCTGGGTGTTGGCACTACGTCAAGAGTTTGTCCGTGAGCTTTTCCGTTTCATTCTGGTGGGACTTTTGAATCCTTTGTTTCTTATTTTTTTCGGGATTGCGTCGGTGGTGGGCGATTATCTCTTTTGTTTTTTGTTTTTTTCGAGATGGAAATAAAAAATGAAGTAATGGACTGCTTTTTTCTTCCTGCTTTTGCATGCGAATGGCTTAGTTTTTTATTTGAAGAAATGAGAGATTGTGATTCGTCTCTAATGGTTTTTCACAGGCTCAAGGATGTTCCAATTGGCGGGATTTCTTCGACGAACATTGATTTATTGGATATTGCTGATGATTTTTTTTGCATCTGCCTGAAATTCTTTTGAAAAGCAAAGGGTTATTCTTGCTGAACTAACGTATTTACGCAAATATGAGCTCTTCCCTTTTCTTAATTTTAGAAGCTCTAAAACAAAGGGGTGCTAATGTTTTCGCATCTTTTTACAATTTTATTGAATATGCGTTTATATCAAGAAATCTTTTTGTTTGCAGCTCAACAAACAATAAACACTTCTATCATTCAATTTTTTTGAAATTGAAATTGACCAGAAGCGATAAATGGTCAGCTCCAGAGAAAGAGGATTGCGCACCGCTTATTTCCTTTCCTGGGGAAAACCTGAATTCAGTCTGAAATTTTAGATTCCTGGAAAGTCATAGCACAAGAAAATTAAGCGGAATCTTTTATGCATGAAAAATTTAGGGGGTGTTCATGTTCCCGTAAATATGTTACGCCTGCAGAAACGTGGATATTTCGTGCAGCTATGAACATTGAATCATGGAAGTTCTCTTCGAGGAAGCTGATAGTGGGACAGAAATAGGAACAACCTCCGCATTATCTGGTCTACTGTAAATATTGGGCTTCTGGTAAAAGAAAAAAAGTTTTCGCAAATTATTGTTTCTCTGTGTGACAAGTATTGATCGAGTAAATGAGCTTTGATTTCTCCTCAAGAGTGAAATTATTATTTCATCAACAATTGTGATGCATTGATTCAGATGATGCTGATGGGATTCCTCCTTTTTTTGCTCACCACGCATCTTTCTTCCACGAAGATTTCATCATTTAATGTTCACAAGTCCGAAATATTTGTGTTTTACTGTCAGGTCTAGTAATGCGTGATTCACGCTGGACAAAAGTGCATGTTTTTGCGCGGCTTATTATAGTCTTCTCAAAATTATGTGTACAGTACAATACTTCAAAAAATGTGCATATCGTGGAATAATGCGTAGTATCGATTTTAGTTCATTCTCCTTTAGCATTAGAACACGTTCTCCCGTTTTTGCTCGTACCTCTTCCTACTTAGTCCACGCACGACACATTTTTGAAAGAGGTTTTTGCAAAAATCTTCGATTAGTTCGAATTTAAAAAATATTTTATGCAACATTCAAGAGCAATTCAGAAAGGAGGATAGCATCTTCGATCACTTGGTGCGTTAAAAACGTTCGTGAAGTTTCGAATAAGTTATGAAAATATTCGTGTTTTCAAAGTATATTACGTGATATATTGAATTTATCAAGTTGTCTTTTGATTATCCTCGCGCTTTTAAATAATACGGGTTTGAAATGTTTTAAACCGCAAGCAAGTTTCATGTGCATCGTAAAAATCGTATATTTTCATTTCTCACCAACAATAAAAAAAAAATATCGACAGAATCGATTCTCCCACGAGAATGATTGAATACTGGACACTTTCTGTTATTTGTGAATACATATAACAACATGCAAACAAATTTGATACAGCCATTTGATACACACGAATTGAAGTATTGAATATGTTCTAATGATTGGATAAAGCTGATGAAATCATCTAAAGAAAATAGGTGTCGTTTTTCTTTGGCACATTTTGTTGCAAAGAAAGCCTACATGAATGCAGGTGGAATTCAATTGCAAGGATTCCCATTGAAATTCTTATGTCTGGCAGATTAACGATAATGGACCATATTTTTTTCAATAAAGCGCAGCTTTTCCCAGATATCATTGTAAAAACTGGAAGTATCTAAAGAAAATTTAAAGCTGTTCGAGTTTCTGATGAAAAAAACTTTGTTCGAAAGTTTTGTTCATTTTATACGGATGGGTGCAAAGCTCACTAATAATACAGACTGCACAGCAGATTTTTGTCCCAACAAATCAGTTGAAACCTGGTGAAATTGTTGTAATGAAATTCTCGTTACACCAACATTCACGAATTTAGTGCTTATGAAACTGAAATCCTGCCCAATTTTGAAGAGCGAGCATTTGTCCTAATGAGATTAATTAAATTATAACAAGATTCTACTGCATATATTGTTTTGTAGAATCTCTGTTGATGACATTTGATCTGTTCCAGCGCAAAGTAAAAACTTTCTGCAACTGTCTCTGAACAACGCAGATGAAAAAAAAAAAAAAAACCATTGCGTCTGTAATTTTTTTGCTCGCCCATAAACTTGGTGGTGCTGCAAATTAAATTACCATACTGCTGAACTTATAGAACCAAGGATGAAGCAGAAGTAGGTTTAATTAGTCATCTGTAGCTTCTTAAATAAAGGTGCTTACGTGATGTTCCAAAAAGTGGAGAAATGATGGCGTCACTCAATAACCCACGGAAGTCCTCTGCATTTTGAGAGGTAAAATACTGTACATATTTGTATCTTCTTGTGTTCACAGAGGAAAATTTTTACTATATTCAAATAATGCAAATTCTGCAAGCCTGAAATTCGGAGACATTTTTGGTAATACAGTATAAAATCTTGTTGCAAGATAGCATTAGGAATCTTTAAACAAGTTTCACCGTGAACGAAAATTAATAGAAAACAAATTTAAATAACATTGTGGGTAATGGAAAGGGGCTGGAAAATAAGTTTGTTGTAAGCATGAAGTCGTTATGAGTCAAATCGTTGTAACAAGATTCTGTACTGTGTAAGAAAAACAACTACTGTACCTATGTGTTGCCTTCCAAAATGAAGAAGTGAAGAAACTTAATTTTGCAAACCCGAGGGAACTGTTCGTTTCATCTCCTTCTTTCTGATTAGCTCTTGTATTCTTCGATCAAAACTGCATGTTCGAATTTTTCCTGAAAATGTAACTTTTTTTCTTTGCCAAATTTCAAATCAAGCCCTTCGTTGTTGGAAGTATGCCAGGATAATCCCCCTTTGTTCACACTATAACGCCTTAATTTCAGAAGGAACTTCATGATTATGTGCGCATATACATTCTTATGGGTCAAATTTAGAACATGAATCACCATGTATATGTGCAGAAAACTTTGTGTTCAACAATTTTGAAATACTGTACTCTTGAGTCGCTGCTTTTTCAACCCATAGTGTAAAAACAAGAATATTTCCAAGTTTTTTCAGATTGATGGCTTCAGACTTATTTGCTGCCGTCTGATGATGCGATCATCACGAGCTTCTTTGGGATATTGGACGTGATCCTTCCTCCGGCCGACGCCTGCAATTCCGGAAAGAAGACATTGTTCGTCTGATGCTGCACCACTTCCGACTTGGCCGTGACTTCTTCAACGTCTCTTCGTCCAGGATCATCAGCATTGTTGGTGAACACGACCTCAGCAATAGGTGGAACGATGATGGGTTGCACAGCAGGTACGGGTTCCGTTTTAGTGCGTGTCGCGAAACTGACTCGTTTGCCCTGTTGTTGTGAACTGCTGCCGCGGGAATGTTCGGAGGGATTCGAAGTGGCGTTGAAGTCTTCTGTGCTGGGTGTGTTGGTGGCGGCGATGGCGGTGCTGCTGCTGATGGTGGTGTCGTTGCGGAGTTCGGCGCCTTCTGCGCTGCGGACTTGGACGAAGTCGAAGCCGCCGGTTTGGACGTTGTTGGTGGAGCTTTCGTGGAGCTTGTAGCCTGGCTGGTGGTGCTCAATGAGGCTCTCGGTGTGGATTGCTTGACCCGTTGGGGTTTTCAATATGCGCTGAAAAAAAAGAATGAATTTTCAACGAGAGATCAATATTTTACTTCCAATTAAGTGTAATTTAAAAAAAAGAGCGTTTCGAGTTACTTATTATTAATTTTATCGTGGAAATAAACGAAAATATACAGTTGAACCTCGATAGCTTGAACCTCCAATTTATGTCGAATTTTTCTATAGTTCCTGCCTGAATGACGTTGAAAACAATGCATCATAGAAACCTCATTCAAGAAGCAATTCAAGGCCCAGAATATCACCAATTAAAATTTCCTGAAATTAATTATTCTGTCTTTTCCCCAACAAAATTGCGTCAAGTTTTTTCCCCAACTCGAGAACTCCATAAATCGATTTTTTTTTCTGATCCCTTGAAGTTTGACTTCAAAAGGTTTGGTTGTATATATGGTTTGTACCTTTATAAGGAACCTTCAAGCTTTAATAGTAGGATTCATCTGGGGGATGAGATAGATTTTTAAAAATCATTTTGAGCTGTTGGAAATTATTCATTTGGTAGCGAACGTTTAAATAATAGGAGTAATTCATACAATACAGTAAAATAAAATATCCTATCTGTGATTATTTTTCAATAAAATATTCAAGTGCCGATACTGTAAAAATATGCACGTATTGCACGACCGAATAATTTGATTTGCACAAATTTTCCCCCCAACTGAATAGCTGTGATACCGTAGCTTAATGCAACACTTTTTATGCCCCCCCCCCCCCGTGTTTCGAATGGATGATTTTAAGCTCAATAGCATAATATTCTTCCTACATTTATTTTTCCATTTTATTATTTGTTTTTATTAAGGGTCTCCATTCTCGTATTTCGCGTGTATTTAAAATAAACCATCATTCGTGAGATGATTTTCGAAAACACGGCTATTTTCTGATTGCCGATGAAGAGCGCGAATATTTCATTTCTTTTGGCGTGAAATCAGTTGTGTGCAAACAATTCTTGTTGGGAGAAAATATATATAGACTGTTGCTGAAAAATCCAAACTTCTTTTTTAAAATACTGTATGTAGATTTTTTGCCGAAGTCGCGACAGGAAATGTTGATTTTTGTTTTACTTCTCATCAATGACGCATGATTTCTTGTTTTAGAAATTGCAGGAATGGCTCTGAAATCTTCGTGCAAATTTGTTCCACCTTTTGCTGGTTCGTGATTCTCACTCGGTGCGGGGTTTCCTCCACTCGTCGTCGATGGGTTACCGAGTGGTGTACAATCCCGGGTTGCCCTGGCCAGATCTCGGGTTGCCCGTAGTATCTGTATCTGGTTGCATACGGGTTCCGCTTTCGTTGTCTCACCATGTCAAGTAGGTTGAATCCGTAGTCAAACACGGAATCACGTCTAGGAGGGGCATAATATCCGATTGACCCTGGCGAAGTCTGACCGACCATGAAGAAATAGAATTAGAAAATTGAATGAGTGGCAGAGAGAAAAAAAAAACTTCACGCTATAAACAAAATTATAAAGATACTATGAGAAATTTCACATCAATTGGGAAATTAACAAAGTAGAAAATTCAGTCCAATGTTAAACATAATTTGAACTTCAGTAAACTTGAAATTTCATAGATCTTGAAGAAAAATCTCAATATTAATTGAAATGATAAATATCATCCTAGCACATTATGTCGATTTTTTTTATGCATTTAGACTTGCAAAAACGTTTGTATGAAATTCGCTGGCAGCTAGATCTGGAACAACAACTAAAAATTATTCCGGGATGTAAACATAATCATCAGTCCATTATCCGAAGCAGGAGCTGGGGTGTACAAAAATGTTTCAGAATCATTCATTTGCGGAGAAGTATTTATTCAAAGTAAGCAAATGTTGTCCCAGTTCAGAGCAGAAACAAGTGTTTTTATGGTCAATGAAAAAAATCATGATTTTTCAGAATTGTCGCTTTTTAAAGACTTTCTAGACATTTTTTCAGTACCCTGCATTTTGAGAAGGAAAAACTTTCTGATGGTTATGGCCAGAGGTTTCCACTCACCTCAGTGACTAGAGAATTTGTCAAGACGGTTAAATTTGTGAAATTACTTTCATTCGGGGAATATTATCTTTCTTACTTCTTTTGGACCTTACAAAATATTTGAATGATCATTTTTCTTTAAAATGAATAAAAACGAAAAACTTTTTGATGGTTGCATTGAAAAGTTAATATTTCCCAATATCCTTATTTCTTTCTCAAGAATATTTTCAGATGCTAAGCTGATGTACGGTATTCTGCCTTGATCAAAATGATGATCAGCTCTCAATTAAAAATTTTCTATTTTTTCAGCCGAAAAAAATCGGAAGATCATCGAAACGGACTCACAATGAAAGGATCTCCGCTGCTGGGAATCCATCCGTCATAATCCAAAACAGGATCCCTGTGTTTTACCGGATACGCGGGAACCACATCAACAGTCACGGATGGTACCCCGCGTGGTGGATGATGGTGCAAGTGTTCGTGTTCGTGCTTGTGGACATGGTGATGCACGACGGGTGGTGTAATGAGATGTGGGTGGTGTAAGAGCTTTGACTTGAAGGCTTTGGCCAAGTGGTGTGCCGTGACGCGACCGTGTTCTTTGCCGAGCTTCCACATCTTCCACATGTGGTGCCAAAGTGGGTGGTGCTTTGCTGAGACGTGTTTGTGAAAGTGGCAGTGTTGGTGTTCGTGGTAATGGTCGTCGATTGGCCTCGGTGGCGACAGTGGTGCTGGTGGTGGTCTATAATGGATCCCTGCTGATGATGATGTCGGCCTGAGGAAAATTATCGAGAACAAACAAAGGAATACAAGTTAGTTGACATTCAGCTTTTTTCAACATTTCATGTCTCCGGAAATTTGTTATGCATAAATCTGTCGCCCAAATGAGGAGTTTTCCGCATAGACACTGGGATTTGGACTGCTATATATTACACACCTATATAGTGTGCTCTGTGTTGCCCATGAAGAGTGCTCTTCATTAACATGGATATTGATATTATCAAACCTGCGGAAGATCAAATTTATCCATGCAGATTGGTGGTGAAATTTTCTCACCACAGCATTGCGAAAGTTTGAATTGGTCATTGAAATATTGCTTAATCCATCTAAAACTCATGCTGGATTATTGAGGATCACTCCTGTTTTTTGGCTGTAAACCTATAGCTCCTATGTGAATTAAAATTTTTCAAAGAAAGCACACTGGAAACTATCATTTTTTCTGATAGTTGTCTGAAGTTAGCGAAGATTTTTGCTCGTCATCATGGGCAGAAATTCTGGAAATACCTATTAGCATTTTTGTTGGATTGTCAGAGCTTCTGAATAATTAAGTCGCATACGATCTGGATGAGAAAATGTGTTTGTTATCCCAGCGGGGCACAGCTGAGAATGACATGAACAAGATTTCAGGAAGATTTACAATTCCCAAAAATGGTTCACGTCGGAATTCATCTTCAGTGATACCCACAAATTTCACACATAAAATGCTGCATTCAGGTCTTTTCATTCTGTTCACTGTGCCACTTTCTGCGGACTTCACAGTTTAGTTTGCTACTTTTATGTTCACAGCATGTGATTCCTTGAAATTTGCTGTGATTGGAGTAAAGATTCTGAATCTGAATTTTGTGGGATAATCTCCAATCCCTCTCAATTTCAGAAATCGGAAGGATAAAGGAAAGGAATCATCAGTAAAGGGGGAATATACAGCATTAATTACAGTCCTGTACTGATTCCAAAAAAAATTTTCGGATGTTATTGTAATAGTTTTTAAAATGCACGTTCCGAATTGTTGTGTGAAGTCTCAGAAAGAAAGTCTTGGTCTTGGTACAGTATCTGGCTGAAATAAGATTCTGTAGGTTGGGTAGCCATTTTATTTTAATTTTCAAATACTGTATACCAACCCATGATGGTAAGGACGAGGTGGAGCAGGAGGAGGTCCGTAGTTTGTATTTCTTATTCGTGTTGGTGGTGGGGGTCCATAGCTGCTAGGAGAGGCATACGAAGTTGGCGCATTGTAAGCGTCGATTTTGACCTCGTTCGGCAAGCGAATCTTTTCAATTTCTGGGTCGAATGGCGGGTAGGTGTCGCCCCAACGTTCGTTACCCTTGGTCAAGTCCGGATGTTGCAGCAATCTCTGTTCCGCGTCGTCTCCGGTTGTTCGTCTGTCTGTGTTTGGAACATCTTCCTTCCTGCCGATCCTTCGTGGGATTCAAATTTAAATTTTCATTTCAAGAGACCTGTACTGTATTATGAAATACCTTTTTGCTGCTGCGATGGGAAAATTCTTGCGGAAAATCGAGAAAAGGCGGATAAAAAAAAAATAAGCGATTGAAGATTATCTGTCGCGCTTCTAAACATTTTCGTTTCCTCACTGATGAACTTTCATGTGTTTTTGCTACAAAAAAATCAAGTTTTAAATTTTGTTCGTTTAAGAAACAGCGGAGGCGTTCATTATTCAATTCCTCGGACCTCTCATAAGTCATTGAAGTAAGTTAAAATCGATTTTATCGTGTTCATAAATTGCATTGAAGATCACCAGCAATTACTGAAGTGTATTTAGTTCATAAAGCGTGCCGAACAAAGTTGTATCTATATTTTAAACATTTTCAAGGACACCCGAAACTTAGAATCAAGTACTGTGTTGATTTTCACCGTATTTTCAGCTCGTCATTTTGACAGCTTTTCGGTGGTTTTCTTCGACTTCGATTAAAATAAGGCAATTTTGATGCATGGTGTGATAATTTGGCGGATAAGATAGATCTAATTTATGAAATAGATTTGACTGGCGTTTCCATTATGTAAATAATTAAATATACAGACGGAAAAAAAACGAGCCACTTGGTTTTCTTTTAATCTCAAGCGGATATTTTGTGAACGTAATTCTATTCGAGCTGATGATTCTTGAAGGAATTGGAAAATTTCTATGCTAGGTTTACGATATAGGAAATTCATATATATCTTAACTGAGGTTTTTGAATTTTTTGACATCAACTGTCCGTGTAAAAACCTTGTTCCCCTTGAATAAATCAAAGATTTTCAAGTATTTTGTAAGTCCTCGATGTGGACGAAGGGGTTCTGATGATTTTTAAAATTGAAAATTTCTACTGCAAAGTTCCGGAACGACAGAAATTTTCACGTGGTATTTCAAAGTTTCCGTTTTTGAATGGAGAATTTTCTTGGTCGCTTAAATTTTATACTGGGGAATATGTTATTGCGTTGCAATACTGTAAATTAAGCGATTGTTCGAAAGTTCATCATTTGTTTTAATAGATTTTATTTCTCGGTATTCATTCAAACAATCAACTGATTTCACTGAGTTATAGAAAATGGAATCTCTCACCTCGAAGAAGTGGGAAACTTTTTGCTGGCACGCTGTAAATGAGGCAGCAAACTGAGGATATTCTCGCTGTGGCCAACGTCTGATGATCGTTTCGAAACCTGATGAAACCCAGAATCCTGTTCAAAACCTGTATAATTTCTCATCGAAGCCCGAAAAATGATAAACCAAAAACCTCAACGAATTTCCCTTTCGTGCCCATTGCATCTGAGCTAACGCGCAGTTTCCCAACAAAACCAAGACATTTTCTTCACCTTCTCCCCCCCCCTCTTGTATAATGTCATGCCTGAGTGAGGATCTGCTTTTGAAATTTCGCTTTCCTCACGGTTCGCTGGGTTTTGGCCGGAGATGTGTGACCGGAAGGCGGTCGATTTATTTTTATTTTTTCATTATCATTCCGTTTTGGCAATAGGAAAATAACTTGCCCATCAGGGGGCAAGGCAAAGTTTATGTTTCAAGGACGAGGTCTTTAATTCTGCTTCGTTTGCGCTCTGATTTTTTTTTTCGAAGCCTATAATCCGTGAAAAATTCACGGATTAATTCGCTGTGAATGCGTCTTCCGAGCTGGTTTTTTCCCCCTTCTTCCTGTTGAGTCCCGAGCTGGATGAATGGGTTCTTATCATAAGTATAGAAGAAAACGGTTTAGAAGTACCCTCGAAAAGCTCGGTATATCCGGACTGATAATATCCAGTGCGATGAATACCCAGAAGGGAAATGATTCTCCGTCATTCGTGTTGTCTTTGAAAACCATCCCCTTCGGGCTGAATTATTTATTCTAGTCAATTTCAAGAGATTTTTCTACTTGCTTATATTTATCGATTTCGACGGGAAGTCATCGACCTCAATGGTGAACAATAAATTCCCTATTTAAACTGGCACTTTGTGTTCATACGCGTTTTTTTTTCTCAAAGACGGTCTCGGAATATTAGCGCGAATTTCCTGCACTTGAGATAACACAGGCGTTTTATTGCAGAAGTTTTCCCAAGTTTTTTTCAATTGCATCAAATGTAAGTTTTATACGAGAGAAGAATGCGAAGCGATTTTCATTTATAAATGGAACTTGTCACATAAAAAATTAGTGTTTAACTTCATCGAAAATGTGGCAATTGTCTCCAAATTTACCAAGATGAGTCTGATATTCGTCTCTTGTTCACCCTAATCTGCTTGAAATGGTCATATAATAATAATATGCTATTTAGAAGCGTGAATAATGCTGCGAAGCTCAGTTAGTTTTAGCTCCTGAAACGTAGATTTAAATTCGCTTGATTCACACATTTTTGAATAAGGACGTTTTCAAGACATTTTCATGCCAGGAGTTTTTTTTTTTAAATCCATGGCCATGTCAATCATAACTTTAACTTCCTTCCGACGAGCTCAAGATCAGATTTATTATGAAAGATGCCATTTTCTGCATGGCGATGATCATTTTTTCAAAGCAGACTTCGTGTATTTATTTCGCATTCTGATACTTGATGCAACTTTTAAAAATTAAAATTGATTATAATGAGAAAAAAAATCTGCGCTTGTATGTCATATAAATCAGTACCCATGATGTAATCTTCGGAAACACATGTGTTGTGAAAGACATAGCGTGCAGTTTTTTTTTTCATGGGAGGGTTAGCTTACCTTTGCAATTTCGTTGCTGAATTGGGCGTCGGAAAACGACCATGTGGAGAGTGAAAACGCAATCAAAACGCACTCACGCCATGGCACGTGTTTCGTCTCGGTCATTTTATTTTATGCCAAAAAACCCCCTGCTTGGAAATGCGTAGAAATATAGTACAGTATTTGGCACGACTGACAAAGACTCGAGGAAGAGTATTTCAGAACGCGGAGGTTTATGGACTTGTTGGGTTGAACAATGATTTTTTGCGTGTCTTAATGCAGTTGAAAACACAAACGGGAATGAAAACTTTAAATCAAATGAAGAGTTGAAATTGTAAATAAGTTGAATGAATTGACCAATCCCCCGACCCGAAAAATCACTCCTTTGAATTACGAAAAGCAGCGAAAATATAAATTATTTCAAAATCGAGATGAAAACGTCGGAAATGAATACTGTATTCACAAATTTTCCAGTTCATGTTGAAATTTTCTGTTCCGGGAATTCAGAATATCCAAAAATTAAGTGGGAAATTTTCAAAAATTGAAATGAATGAATTTTGACATCATTCCTGCTGCAGACCGTTACTTCAAGGTACGAAGAAATTGCGGAAAGGCTGTATTGACATCTTTGTTGTACAAATCGTAATAGAAGCATCTTTGAATCTAGGATTTTCTCGAGTTCGCTTGTTGACCACGGATTTTTCTGTTTCGAAAACATTATTCATGGAAAAAAAGGCTCCAAAATTGTCTGAAGAAAAGTTGCACTGTATGACTATTTTTCTATAGAATGTTTCATATACTGTACTGTATTTACTCTTAGCTCAATAACGCCCTTCTCAGTTGCATGTAAAATTTGAAATCCCGAATTGAGTATTTACGTGATTCATCGCTTAATTTCGCATATTTTGACTATAATGCAGGTACAATAATATTTAAAAAAAAACTATATGCTGAATTTGTTCTTTCTTGGAAAATGGAGCAGCCATAAATGCTTTCGACGAAACTTCGCTCGACGATATTTTTGATTTATTTCTAGTCCATTACTTCAAGTCCTTTTTGTTCACTTTATCTCTCTCTAAATAAACTCTTGCATTTTTGAAAGTCTCAATACTCCCAGTTCATATTCAAAGTCGTTTTTCTTAAACAAGTAATGTAATAAAAAAGGCTTCGGTAAACTAGCGACTTTCCATCAAATTCACTCACGTCTTGAATTCACTGACATTCAAAAAATATTTCCATGTGCTGAAGTAAATTCAATGAGAACCCTCTCGTGGAGTAACTTCTCATTCATTTTAAAATGCTTCCCCGTGAAAAATATTCCGCAACAGAATTGATGTCCTCATACAACCTCATGCCGAAATTTTCCGCAAAATTAATTTTTTTTTTCAAATAATACGAAGAGAAAAATGTATCACTTTTTGAAGAAGAAAAAAAAATTCTCGTTCCGAAAAATGCCCAGCTGATGAGAAGCAGAAGCCAAACTGACCGTTCTTCACTGTTTCTCGCGCTTGTCAACCCACGGCGCGAAAAAACGGAGCTTTGGCAATGAAAAAAGAAACGAGAAGAAATACTAGAAACAATGCCCTGTTTTTTTTTTTCCTGCGAAAAAAAGTTTTAACAATAATAAAATAAAAATAAACCCAAAGGGCGGAGACCCGGTTTTGTGACGTCGTCCGCTTGTGTTGCGTATTTCCGAGCAGACCAAAAAGATGTCGCAACTCGCCGGACGGGGTGGGGGGAAACCAATGCGAAAATTGTCTAGCGACCGACAGGTAGCCAAAGGGAACCATCTTCTAAACTTGTATAAAGGGTGGCTGAAAAAAAAATTGGCACTGAGATATGTAGACAAAAATCAATTAAATGCCATCGAGGCAAATTTTTTTGGCGCTGAAAAGTAACCATGTTCTACAATTTTATATAGGGTGTCTGAAAAAAATTTTCCACTGAGATATGTAGACAAACCTCAATTGAATGCCATCATTTGTCGTGTCAAATTTTTTTGGCGCTAAAAATCAACCATCTTCTAAACTTTTGTATAGGGTGTCTCAAAAAAATTTGCACTGATATATGTAGAGAAACATCAATAGAATGCCAATTTGTTGTGGCAAATACTTTTGGCGCTAAAAAGCAACCATCCTCTAAACTTTTATATAAGGTATCTCAAAAACTGATATATGTAGACAAACCTCAATTGAATGCCATCATTCGTCGTGGCAAATATTTTTGGCGCTAAAAAGTAACCATCTTCTAAACTTTCATATAGGGTGTCTGAAAAAAAATTGGCCCTGATATATGTAGACAAACCTCAATTGAATACCGTCATTTGTCGCGGCAAATTTTTTTGGCGCTAAAAAGCAAGTTTACAAAATTTCGAATGCGAAACTCAAGAAAAAAAAGTTTGCCTTTCTGCTAAATTTTTAATTTCTTCGAGAATCACTATATAAAGAAATAGAAAAGATGAAAACTTAATTGAAACCGCGTTCAAAGACGCAATTCAAAACTTTGCCGGGCTCATCATGATCATAATCCGGAGCCGATGTGTCGCGAATTTCTCATTCTTCAGGGTGTATAGATTTTACGGCACCCTGTATGATTTTCAGGCGAAAAAAGAACAGCTAAGAGAGAGAAAATGAGAGTTGTTCCCTTCGTAAAATATTTTCTTCTGAATATTGGGCTTATTTTTTATTGCTGAGGGAATGAAAAGGGGGGATTCACTGGGGCGTGGATCCGCAGAGATTGCGCGCGCAAGCAGTGACATGTTCACAATATAACCGACTGTCTCTTGTAATAAAGCAACAGCAGTTGGATGACTATTGGGCAAAGAGAGAAAAAAGAAAGAAATGAGTGAGATATGCATGTGTCATAGTTGTATTATTTCTGAAGAGCCCACGATCTCAGCTGTCAACTTGATAATTGGAGTGGCATTGCAGGTGGATTCTGAGACAATGTCATCATTCATCTTATTCAAGTAAATAGAGAAAAAAAGCCACAATATAAAGTAACTAATGATAGCTTCATAAAATCGAAAGATTCTTAATTGAGCATAAAATTATCCCAATTATAATCTTGGATTAATTTTTTAATACAGTGCAAAGCTTGTGAAAGTGGTACCTTTTGCTGAAAATAACGAGCTTCATGTAATGGATTTTTGAAGCAATGTCACGATCAAACTTGCACAAAATGTTGCCTCAGATACTTCAATTTAGGTCAAGTGATGGTCTGTGTCTGCGTGGGGAAGTTATTTCTTTCTATTGGAAATGAAATTCTTGGTACTTTCCTGTTATCTCTGTACCTGATTCCTAGACTGCACTACCATCCAGACAAATCTTTAGGACAAGTTCATAATTAAGAAAGCAGAAACTGATTTTGGGAGGCGGTTAGATGAAGTTAGGTTAGGTCAGGTTAAATTGGTCAGAGGGAAGGTACATAGATAACAGGAAAGTACCAAATTTTTAAATTGGCAAATAGGAGCTTTTTATATTCTTGATCACGGTTAAGCAACTTTTTCAGGGTCTTTATAGGTACTGTGTAACTATATAATGCATCCAATGCTGACTATATTGTAAGTGTTCTTCCACAGCTTAAAGGAAGTAATCCAAGCTAAGAATCAATTCATGAGTTTCAAGAGAGCATGTAATTGAGGTCTGATGGCTTTGCAGCTAAACTTAAAGTCATCTAAGTGATATTACGTATTGAAAGTGGCTGCAGTCCAGAAATTTTATATCCTGTGAATCAGCAGAAGCACTTCTTACATCATCCAGTCTGTCCGGAGTAAGATGCTGCTGATGCTGTTTTGGGAAGTTATCATCTGTTAGGAAGTAGCCCGGCTAGCTCAGTTGGTAGAGCGTGAGACTTTTAATCTTAAGGTCGTGGGTTCAAGCCCCACGTTGGGCGGGATCTCTTTTTGTTCATACCTGTATTACATATTATGAAGAAAATTAGGTTTATCTACCCGTCATTTTTTCTTAACAAAAAAGAGGTAATCGAGTAATGAGAGCGTTATCGAACATTTTCGGAAGGCATCTAAATCACCAACAGCAATTTTCACTTGCAAGAATATTCAATTGAAAATGCAAATAATACGCACGTAATACAGGTATAAACAAAACAATCCCGCCCAACGTGGGGCTTGAACCCACGACCTTAAGATTAAAAGTCTCACGCTCTACCAACTGAGCTAGCCGGGCTACTTATTTGACAGGTGATAACTAAGTTAAGTGAAGATTACTCAATAGTGCGATATCAACTTCTCATCTTTTTAAATTCAGCTTCTTCCAATTTTCATGATTTTTCTATCATTCAGGAAAAAATTAAAACACCGTACTGTACTATTTCATATGACTTGAGTGACTAACTGGATGAACATGCTGTAAAAATTTTGGTTGGGATACATTTAGTTTTTTCAGCGAATTTCTGTCACTTAGAAAAACAGTTCTGGGCATAGCATAATTTCAATTCTGTCATCTCATAGTATAGTAAGACTTAATGTCCCTACACACACACACAAGTAGGCGCAGGCACCTTCTTGTAGAAAAGCACACACTAAGTGGAACACGACAGTAGCGGTTTATATTGGCACTCACTCAGGTAGCAGATTATGACTAATACAGTACACATGATAAAGGCACTGATTCTTGTGACGACCGTTCGGTTTGGGAGCTATAGACAAAGTGAGGCTCTCATAGGCCTCAGGGGTACAGGCGCGAGTCGGTTGATGCAAGCGCGCTCATGTATTGCGTCAGCCAGTTTGGATTGGTGCGGCGTCACAAAGATAAAAAAAACAGTTGATGTCGCGTTAGGCCTTTTGCGCGGGCCATCACGGCTGCGCCTATGGACCCGCGCAGGGGTTGTACTCTCCCCCCCCCAAAAAAGAAAGGTGCCGGCAGCGGCAAAAGAACAAGGGAGGAGGAGGCCAAGGCTGACGGTATTGTGAGGGCCGTCAGTGGCGGCATTTTGGTCAAGATCCTTGGGCATTTTGAGATCCTGTTGAGGTGAGGTTGTTGTGGTTAGTACTCATAGTCGGTGATGGGTCCGGTGCCGTCGAGCAGTTGCGCCAGTGTCCGTTGGCGGGGCTTGATGTCCACTGGCGTTTCCTCCACTGACAATTCGGAGCTGCTGGAGCTGGGGAATCTGCGGCATTTGCGGCCGCCATTAGATCCGGTTGAGGCAGCAGTGTTGGTTCCTGGGGAGGGCTGTCAAATGACAGAATGTCGACGCTGGATACCGGCAACGTTGCCATGGGAGTGTGTGGCGGAGAGCGGTCTGGTGTGGCTTGGGCCTGGTTGGGCGTCTCGCTGCATGCCTGATGCACTTTGGGGGAGGTTGTCATGGGATGGGCTTTGTCGTCGGATTTGTCCGTGGCGTTGGGTGTCCCTGGATCCAGGTGAAGTCAATGCCGATTGGTTTCTTCCGTATCCTGTGAACGGAGGGATTTTGTACTTTTTTGTTTCATGAGGTATTTTGGTATGGTAGGGGGTGGCGCAACGGGAAAGGTATATGCTTGTAACTCCCAGGCATTTGCTTGTCGGTCACCTGCAGGGGTTTGGAGGCTATGTTTTGCTTTCCCGAGCACTGCTGTGATTTGGAATGGTCCAAAGCGTTTTGGTAAGAAGCGCCGGTTTGCGGCGTGTTTTCCGTTGTTTTCAGTCGTGGCCTTAGGGTTACCATTTGGCTGAGTTTGAATTCGGGTTTGCGGTGTTTATTGGCCTGCTGAATGTAGCATTTGTGGTATCTTTGGTTAGTTACTTTGACTCATTGGAGTTCAGGGGTTATGTCCCTTGGCGGCAGTTCAAACTTTATGTCTGCTGGGGTGGGTATTGGTTTTTTGTGCCATAGTTCGATGGGTGGTAGCCCTGTTGCGGTGTGTGGCATTCAGTTGTATGCAATCCCTGCGTCAAGTAAGACGTCATCCCACGTGGTTGGGGTTGGTGCTGTCTTGGCTATGATTGCCAACAGGGATTTTATTGCTTGTTCACAGGCGCCGTTGCCTTCAGGGTGGTACGGCTGGACAATGTGTGACACAATTTGATTTGCCGTGATGAATCTTTTGTACGGTGCTGAGTTGAAGACCGCTGCTCCATCTGAATGGATTATTAGGTGCCCAATTGGGCAAAAACGTCGGCTAGGAAGCTGCATAGGGCATTCGCTGTTGCGCGTTTGACAGGTGTGGTGACTACTCTCTGTGAGTAGTAGTCGATGGCTACTATGGTGTATCGGTTGCCCTTTGTGGATGGGGGGAATGGTCCCCAGAAGTTGACTCCGAGTTGGTCATGTTTGTCTGCTGGCGGGACAGGTATGAGTGTGGTACCCACTGCGGCGGTTGCGGAGTTGAATGTGAAGCATTTGGCGCATTGTATGACGTGATGAAATATTTCGGTGTGCATGCCAGGCCAGGTGAACCTTTTGCGGATTGTGTCAAAGGTCTTTTTCCAGTTGGTGTGGCCCATTTCCACATGATATTGGTCAATGATTTCTGCGCGTTGCCCAGGATTGGGTACTTCACGGAGTTGTATGCTGTTGAGCTGGATTCGGCTGAGGGCATCTGGCTCTGTGAGGGTTTTGCCCGGCCAGTGTACAAACGTATGCTGGAATGGTTCCAGTTTTAGGCAGAGAGCGATGAGTCTCATGTCAACAAGCTCTCCTAATAGTGCCTTGTGGTCTGTGACGATCTTGAATTGTCGATGCTCAACGTAGTGTCAGAACTTTTTGATTGTTGCCCATACTGCTGCCAGGTGTTCTCTTTGTGTATTTGAGTAACGGGTCTCAGCGGGCGTCAGGACTCTGCTTGCGTATTTGATGATGTGTGGTTGTCCATCGTGGTCAATCTGGACCAGGATTGCGCCAATGGCAGTGGCCAAGGCATTGCAGTGGATTTCGGTGTCCCACTGTGGTTCAAATTGTTCTAGCCGCGTGGCGCTGGTGATCGCCTGTTTTAAGGATTCAAAGGTGGCCTCTGCTTCTGGCATCCATTTGAGCACCATAGCTGGTTTCACAGGGATCGTGTTGTGTAGTGTTTTCTCGAGATTTGTGAAATTTGTTGGTACGTGCAAGTGCAGGTATGTTGCTAGTCCCAAGAACCTCTGCATTTGCTTGGTGGTCTCAGGTTTGGGGAACACTTGTACGGCTTTGAGATGCTCGTCTGCCAGTCGCGTTCCTGTTTTGTCAATGATGTGTCCCAAGAAGTGGATAGATTCCGCCAGGAATTTGGACTTGGAGATGTTGATTGATGCACCGGCTGTCGCCAGTGTGTGTAGAACCTCAGAGAGGTTTTGCAGCACTTGGTTGAACGTGGTTCCAAAGACAATGATGTTGTCAATGTATACAAGACACTGGCTGTAGAGGTGTTGGCGCAGGATGGTTTCCATGGTCCGCTGGAAGATGGCTGGGCCAGTCTTCAGGCTGTACGGCATTACGGTATATTGCATTTGCCCAGTCGGGGTTGTGAATGCAGTTTTGTGGCAATTGCCGTGTGCTATGGGTATGTGGTGATACCCGGAGTGTAGATCCAGGCAGCAGAAGTATGCGTTTTGTCTGCCCAGTGCATTGAGGATGTCTTGGATAACTGGCATTGGGTAGTTGTCTGCCAGTATGACCTTGTTGATTTCGCGGTAGTCTTCTACTAGGCGCCATCTTTGTATTGCTGGTGCGTTGGGGTTTTTGTCTTTTGGTGTCAGGAATGCCGGTGAGTTGACCATGGATTGCACGGGTTTGATGATCCTGGCTTTGGTGTAGTTGGCTAGGATTTCTGTCATTGCTGGTATTTTGTTGGGCAACAGGCGGATGTGCCGTGGTGGTTTGTGATCTTGGACATTTGTCGGAATGGATGCGACGTGTTGGGGAAACAGGCCGTGTTTCCCAGACCATAGGAAGATGTTGTCCACGTATTTGGCGAGTAGGTGGGCAACCGCCTTTTGTTCGGCGGGAGAGCCATTTACAAACTTAATGCCTTTGCCGGTTTTGGCTTGTGGGATTTTGTTGATCGGTTTTATGGTTTGGAACCCAGAAAATATTCTTTGGCCGTCGAGAGTTACACAAAACGGGAGGTTTTTCAGTGTATCTAGGCCAAGAATTACTGGGTACCTCGCGCTCGCAAGTAGGAAGAAGGTTGCGCAGTAGTCAGCGGAACCGAGTGAAAAAGTTGTACTTACTGAGTGGCTGATGTCAGAGGAGATGTGTGAGACGGCTGCGGAGATCTTCGCTTTGGTCAGATGGGGTGTGAGCCCTACTTTGGCTGCAACATTGGTCGCCATGAATGACCTGGTGGCTCCAGTGTTGATCAGTGCTGTGACGCATTTGTCCTTGATGCCAATGATGATGGTGAGGCTGTCGTCTGTACCTTGAGGGATCTAGCAGAGGACAGCCGTCACTGCCTGATCTTGGCATTTCCCTGGTTTGGGCAGTTGGTGGCCGTGTGACCTGTAAGTCCACATTGTACACATTTAGTTGGTTCGACTGTTTGTGTGTTAGGAGTGTTCACCTGATTGGCCGGGTTGTTTCAGCAGTCTGCTGTCAAGTGTGCGACAAGGCAACCTGGGTGGTAAGTACACAATTGCAGGTTTTGTGGGGATTGGTTGCCCGTAGCTGTGTTGGGCCTTGGGTTTTGCCCGAGTGAGCATTTGGTGGTTGTGTGGAGAACGTACCATTGATGGTGGTTGCAGTAATGTTTCTGTACACCGGACGCCATTGTTTTTGGTCGGTGGTTGCCTTGTTGCATATTTTGCGGGGCTGGCGATGCGCGTGGTGTGTTAAGGTGCATGCGGCAATATTTGTCCGTGTATGCGAGACATGCGACCCATGTCAGGGCTCGATCGGAGGTCGTCTTGGAGTATAGGTGGGCGTGGAGCCCTCTGGTGGTGATTGCAAGTAGTTGGCCAATGAGTGCGGCAGTGATGGATTTTTCTTGACCCGGTAGGTTGTTTGCACTGAGTGGTAGGTATCGGATGTACTCACACTGTAGCCGATTGCCAAATTGTGCCCATGATTTGTCTTCTAGTGGTTGTAGGGCTAGGAATCTCGTAAAGTGTTTGAAGGGCAAGAGCCCAAACTGTGTTTTGAGCCAGTCAGCAATGTCATTGTAGTTGTGGTATCCCTCGTTGTAGAGGCATTGGGCTGCCGCCGCAACTGTGGGCGTTGTATGCCTGATAAGACAGTCAATTTTTGTGTTGTTCAAGGTACCATCATGACTGAATGCGATTTCCAGTCGGCGCAGGTAGACTTCGAAGTCCTCTCCTTGTGCTTGCTTGGAAAAATCCGCTCTGCGTCAAAGAAGTGATTTGGTGATGTTGGCGGTAAGTTTGGCGGTGGATGGGCCGGCGCCTGGTCCGGGTGCTGTGTTTTGGAGCACATTAATTGGTTGTACGCCTCACGCTTGGAGCGCTGCAACAAGTTTGTCTCAATTCCCAAGATGTGTGATTTGTGCGGTTGCACAGTACAATCACATGGCATGAGATGTGCCCATTGGTTGTTGTTTTGATAGTTTTGGGCAAACGCCGATGCGGAATTGCTTGATGGACTGGGAGACACTTTGTCCATTTCACTTTGCACATTTTGCTCATTTGGGGTCGCCATGGTTCATTCTCGTGTGGCTGAGCCCCCAGTAAGACTTGTTGTCCCTACACACACACACAAGTAGGCGCAGGCACCTTCTTGTAGAAAAGCACACACTAAGTGGAACACGACAGTAGCGGTTTATATTGGCACTCACTCAGGTAGCAGATTATGACTAATACAGTACACATGATAAAGGCACTGATTCTCATGACAACCATTCAGTTCGGGAGCTATAGACAAAGTGAGGCTCTCATAGGCCTCAGGGGTACGGGCGCGTGTCAGTTGACGCAAGCGCGCACGTGTATTGCGTCAGCCAGTTTGGATTGGTGCGGCATCACAAAGATAAAAGAAACAGTCAATGTCGCGTTAGGCCTTTTTCGCGGGCCATCATGGCTGCGCCTATGGACCCGCGCGGGGGTCGTACTGTATCTTAATAGAGATGTTGAGATGGCTGATCTGAAATGAAGTCCCTCAAATTCAAAGGCATTTACGTGATTGATGGATTAATATTTGAACGTTGTTCTAAGAATTTGTTGAGTAGTGGTTTCTATTGTAGAAAAAATTCGCATGCTTCCTGCTGCAGAAGTTTATTTCAAGAAATTAGTATTTAGATGATTTGCAGACTGGCAGGAATGAGGTGCAGTATGAAAACCTCTCTCCAGCCCTGTTCTGTGCAGATTTGTGATGAAGGGATGGATTGCGCTCAAACTGCAAGGTCCTTAACTAATTGTTAACTTTGTGTTAAGTTTTAAGGTTTCGTTTACTTAAATAACCATCTTTGTTAGTGTTAAAATCTGGTAATCAATTTTTATGAACGTTAATTTTTTGTAATTTCAAGACATCCAGTGGGATAGGGCATCAGCTCTTGCGCTGCTTTTGATCTCTTCTCGCAACAAGCGCAATTGACGTTGTATCCCATCCTGAAAAAAATACACAAAAGTTGAATTTTAAAAAACAAATTTCAAGACATCCAGTGGGATAGGGCATCAGCTCTTGCGCTGCTTTTGATCTCTTCTCGCAACAAGCGCAATTGACGTTGTATCCCATCCTGAAAAAAATACACAAAAGTTGAATTGCTTTCTAGAGAAAATTTGGAAATGAAATACTGTACCTCCAATCTGCTCATCTGTTGTTCAGAATCCTGCTTCAACTGAGCAATCATACGCTCCATAGATTTCAAATGACTGCGCAATTGTAGAAAGACAGTTTTTGAAACGATTTCTTCAAATGCAAGCATCGTGTCTTTGTTGCCATTCCCCGATAGTTGTTGCTCAGTTCTTGTAGCAAAATATTCTGCCAAACACTCGTGCACAATGCTTTTAATTGCTCCGAGATCCAATGAGGCTTCTTGTGGCTTTTCTGGAGAAGGAACTGCAACTTCCTCAATCGACTCATCCTGCACAACTGATGCATTCCGATCTAGGGTATGGTGTTTCATTGTGTCCACAGTGCTTGAAATGGGTAAACAAGCAGGACTGTTCACAGTGACAACAGGACTTTTGGAAACTTCTTTCAGTGGTGTAACACTTTTAACAGGCGGAGAATTTTCCTTTGAACTTGACCGATCTCGAATCCTTGCCAATGATTCCCAAAAGCTGATGCGTTGTGGAGTTGAAATATGCGCTTCTGTATCAAATATGCAACAGAGTGAAATTAACAAATGTACTTCTTTTCTTTGACCCTTTTTTGTCTCGAGTGGAAAAACTGACGAACGTTTTTGTCTTTTACCTTCTTCTAGATGTCGTAAGTGAACAGGTCCTTCTCGTAGTCGTTTACAGGTGAACCGAAGAAAGTAATTTTGCAGATCCCAGAGTTTCACATTCCCAGATTTAAATCCAACCAGCAAAGAACGAGATTTCAGTGGAGTAAAGGAAATTGTTGACACAGGTTCACCGCACTTGATCCTAGCAATCACCCTGAAAAAAAAGAGATTATACCAAAATCACATACTGTACAGTCAAACCTCGGTTTAACGGGGTTAGCGGTTTAAAGAGGTTGTTGGTTATCAGAAAAGTTGAAATAGTATGAAAATCGAGTATAGTAGGAAATTAAATTCTCGAAAACAATCAAATTAACCTTGGGATGAGCGAATTGTATCTAGCTGATGTTCTCGAAAAATGAAGTATCTCATCCTTGTTTTAGTGTTCTGTAATTTTTTTTATTGGAGACCTCTCACAGAAACTTAGGTAGCACCAATTACGTGCGCATCTCGGGGCCCAGTTATATTAAACCCCAAAAAATAAATTACCGAAAGAGGTTCTTCTGCTCCATTGCTCTTTCGTCACATGGAGTTCAGTATTTTGATCGCCCTACAACATAATTCACAATTTTTTGGAATCAAACTCACTTCCCAACATCAAGCCCAATGACTTGAACTGACGAATGGTGGCTGCTACTCGCGCAAAGAATGTTGGACTTGGGGTTGAACGAGAACTTCCGAGGACCGTGTTTTTGTGAATCTGTGTTTTTGTGAATCCGCTTTCAGTTTCAAAACGCGTTTCTTGGCGAATAGGTCCCAAATACACAGCTAACCGAAGTGAAAGAAGCCCCAACAAGATTAGGTTCCATGTAACTTGCTCTCATGTGGGAGAGTTCCTAATGTCAGAAGGAAGTCTCAGTGAACTCGCGGAGCATGAACGAGAAAACACTGTACAGTACTTCAAATGGATCATGAAGATGTTGATTGGGGTTGTTCCAGTTTCGAGGGCCATGGATATTTATTCCGAATCCTTTGCTTCCAACGGCAATGTGTCCGGTTTCATTGAGAGCAGCAACTGACACTATCTCATCTATGCAACTCCAGAAAAAGCACTGCATTAATTAATAGAAAAATGAGAAAAAGTACCGTGCAAGTCTTACTGGTGTTGCTCGTGTAGACTTTTTTGCATCAGCATCAACCATGAGCGCCGTGCGATTTTGCCTTCCTACCACAAGTTTCGAGGATACATCAGAGCGAAAAACATCCACGCATCTGCTAGACTTTTTAAAAATGGGCTTAGTGAAAATCTGCTTTAAATGTAAAATCTGAAAACAGAGGACTTACAACACTGGTGAAATCGTCCACCGTAGGAATAGTGGAAGTTTCATCGATTCGACACAGCTTCAAATTGATGCCACTGGTCGGAATGACCAGTGGGGTGTAGGACAATTTCCCCCGATTCTAATTCCCCCGCCTCTATTTCCCCCGAATAATAATCCCCGATTTTAAAATCCCCGGTCACAAAAATCCCCGAAATTAAAATGCCCGGTTTTTTAGAATCCCCGAGTCCCGATTTTTAAAATCCCCGAGTGTTATTTTCCCCGATTTTAATTTCCCTGCTTTTTGTTGAAATCCCCCATAATAAAAATCCCCGATGTACAATTTCCCCCGAAAATAAAAAACTGATGGTTGGACAATTGTTTTTCTCATTTCTGAGTGACAAAAATTGAATTTATCAAGTATAATTGAATAACAATTAAAATAACGTAAAAATGAAAAAAACGTAAAATTTGAAAAAAAGAAACCAAAAAGTAAAAATTGAAAAAACAAAAAATGTAAAAAAAGCCGCATCAGCAATAAAAAAATTATTAATTGTATCTTAGTTTCATTGCTTTAGATGTTTCCTTCAAACATTTTTCCAGACTAATTTCATGCCTGTTGAACAATTGACACAGATTCTTCAGGTTGGCATCCCTCTTCTTCTGCTCACCTCAGGGTAGAAAAAGGGATTTGAGGATGAAGTTGGGGAAAAATCCAATTTTTTTTTCTTTTTGCACAGAAAAATTTTGTGGGAAAATGAAAGAGATCCTATGCTAAGCAATGGGCTTTTTCTTGGATTAATCCCAACTTTGCCTCAGCCCACCTGGAAGGTCTTTTCTGACATTCAGAAAACTGAAAACACCACAGCATACAAAAATAATCCGATTTTGGCCAAATTTCTTTCATTTCTGGTGATATTTTGTATATTTGGGGATTTTGTATTTTTGGGGATTTTAGTAAATGGGGATTTTTATTTCGGGGCAATTAGACACCGGGGGGAATAAACGTCTGGGATTTTAAAAATTGGGGATTTTAGGATCAGGGATTTTAGAGCGGGGGGAATAGCGGCGGGGGAATTAGAATCGGGGGAATTGTCTGTTTCCTGTTCCAAACCCGTGGTATGCGGACCAGTACTGGTCTATGCTGGGCAACTTTATTCAAAAAAGAAGGAATAAGTGAACAAAATTTGCTCTCTTTATCTGAAATATTGAGAAGACAATGCTGTTAAAATTATTTGATGACAAATCCAAAGGGGGCTTTTGTTCTAACACTTCAGACCAATTTTTAACTGCTGAAATAAATCATTTTAATTTTTAATTCTGAGAAACATTTCTTCATGGCAATGCAGCTAATATTTAAAGTCGTTCCACTGTATTGCTGCTTCCCTTATTCTTTTTTTCAGATAAGTAGACATTTTTGAAAGCCTGGCAGAAAGTTTTTGAAGCAAAACTTTTCTGAGTTTGCAGAAATCTTATGAAATTTTTGCTGGTCCGCGAGAAACTTTATGGAACTTTGCTGGTCGGAAGGCCCAAAAAGGTTGAGCAACACTCTAGCATACAAATATACTTCGTTTGTCACAGCAAAAACCTCTTGCTAGTATGATGAGGAACGTTTATAATGCCAATAACAAATCGAAAAGCTGAAATTGAAATCTTGCGCAGGAAGTCTCCCAGCACTATCTAGTCCAAGGTATTGTACTGTAGTACCAATGGTGTGCTGAATAACCCTAATATTTTCATACTAAACTCCGCATTTTGTGAAAATCTCTGGTGTTTCCCAAAGGGAGCCATCGTCAAATTCCATTGATCCCCTCCCCCAAGTATATCGTTGTATAATTATCTTTCAGATTTGCAAAAAGTCTCTCCATATTGTGGTGTTGAAAAAAAAAGTCTGTAGGATTGTCAGATTTGATTTCCGGCGGGATTTTCACAAACGCTACTCATCATAGATTTTATAAATTTTTAGCTGAATTTCAGCAATCGGTCGCTGAAATTATTCTTCCATTTTACCAAAGGCTTACTTTTACGCGCATGAATAAATTCCTCCGATTTATTGTCACATCGAACATACCCATAAAATTTCCTCTTGAATTAAATTAAATTTCCTTGGCTCTTGAATTTTCCGGCATATTGAAGAACATTGCCTCTCATCCAGTCAAACATGTTTCAATTCCCACTATAGCTGCTTAGCATTGATTGAGCAGAAAACCGCCTCTTTTAATTACCTGTGCAACCACACATTTTACCAAAATGTTGAGCAAGAAAAGCTTCGTCCAGTAAAGCATCCATTCAAGTAGGAACTTGAAACTTCAGTTTGTTGTATGTAGACCTAGCAAGTATATTTTAATGCGGGCTGACCTGAGAGAGGGGGAACCAAAACAAAGGGGAACAGCTGCAAGGAAACGTATACCTTGTTGAGAAGGATCTCATTCCAAATAAGGAGAAAAGAAAATAATTGCAATTTGGTTTTTGGGTTCCAAGTTTAAAAAAAAATTGAACAAATAACAAGCACAATTGTGCCACATGGCTGAGTTTCAGGAATATCATGTATAGTACATTGCCTGAATCATTGTCTTTCTGGATATCTGACACAATTCATTCAAATGGAAAAGCATTTGGAAACTGCAGACCCTGTATGTAATTTTTTTCCTAAATCTGGAGGACTCAGGCCTGGAAGGCTCATATGTAACCGTTCCCTCTTGCAACACTTCCCAAGAATCATTTTGAAGAGCAACCCCTCACCCATGGATTTATTTTCGCAAGTGTTGAGCATAGACCCAACGTGATGAAGTTTTCCAGCATCAATGAATACTCCTTTCTTGGGGAGGTGTTTTCATTCATTCGGACGCAAATAATGCATCCTTTTTTAGCACACGAAGCAATCTCACAGCTGGGAACGTCACAGACACACAATGTCTTTCTTTGCTGACGCAATAATCTGTTCCAGACTTTCCACGCACAAGCATTTATTCCCGGTAAAAAAAATCCGAAAATAAGAGAGAGTGATGGAAGACATGAATTTCTTTGGAGTGCCTCATACGAGTATTTCATCTTCTTCATTCATGTTACGCGGATTTCTCCGATTGAGTAAAAAGGCCACCGTCCTTTGCAGAATAGTCTTGTGAAGTATATGTGCAAAACTGACGATAGACAGATTTTGGGCAAGAAATTAATGAAACGCAAAAAATGGCCGGTGTAGGAATAAATCCGCAGTATCTGTCGTTTCAAGAGCGTCCACTTGGATTTTTTGACTGCCGGGATATGAATTAAGAGATTAGGATGATATTCTGGTTTTCAGTCTGCGGAAATTAGTAGAAGTAATACATTAAACATTCAAAACTCGATTTTTTATATAGTTCACAGTAGTTGAAAAATAGCAAGAGAGTGCTAACATATGGAGTTGATATGTTTATGAAATTGAATTGGAATTTTTTTGGCAAAACACAAAATACAGTATCACATACTAAAAACCCATGTTTAAAATGGTGTCATTGTGAATTTTTTAGAGATATATAAATATTGTATAGTACACTAGTACACAATAAATTTCCTGAGAGTTCATGCATGCCTTGATGCTACAGTGATACAGTCCCCAATTATGAATTCTATTCAGAATTTCGTGCCCTTTTCCCAGCCTGATTATGTGTTTCTCTCTCTCTAACAAAGCTTGATCCACAATGTCAATGTTCATCTTGTATATTGCAGTGACATGTATTATTGTCCCCAACAGGAACACAAAGTTAGTGTCAATATCAACAGGGTTCACGTTGCGTTTCACTCACTTTCCAAGTTTTACCTTCGCATTTCCACAGGTAAACACAGCCAAGAGATTGCCAGTCAGATGGATGTCGCCAGAAAGCATCACTCGGAGGATTTACTCTTACGCATCCGACGTCTGGGCTTACGGCATCGTTCTCTGGGAGATTTATTCCCTGGGAAAGGTCCCTTACTTTGGCCATTCCAACGAAAAAGTGAGAAGCTCAACAATCGCAGTCTTTCTTCGAGCTATAATAGCAATCTGACCTTAATCGCTTCTCCTGAGTTAGATATTTTTCTCCGTCCTCTTTTTGGAACAAATTCGTTCAGGAGATGGTACGGAGACTGAATAACGGATGAAACTCACCATATATGGGGAAAATATAGTTCAAATTCTCAAAAAAAAAGGAGGAAGGGTTCTACAGTATTCTGCATAAGCATTGATGTTATATTAATTAAATCTCAACGAGATGCAACATTCGATCAGGCCCTTCCTTTTTGTCATGAATTAAATTTGAATTTTCGGGTGTGCGTGTATAAAATATTTTTTTCCCGTCAATTTTTCCAAGTCTGGTGCATTAAAAAAAAAATTTATAGTTACAACTCTCGTGAAAGTGAAAAGCGTTTCAGTCTTTAGATCGATGGATCTGCCGTCTTTTTCTTTGTAAAATCATTTGAAACCCCACTTTCAAAATTGTTTTGTTCTTGGATAAAAGAAATGCTTTAGGCTCGCCGAAATTACCTTCACTCAGAGATCAGTGCTCCTCTTTTCATTGTGAATATTCATCATCACAGTTTAGTTTTTCAGTTTGCAGACTAACTTGATCTTTTTTTCTCATGTATAGGTGATCTCATTGATCATCGATGGAGTTCAACTCGAACCTCCAGCAGGATCCCCGGAATACATCGCTGGGATCATGAAAAGCTGTTGGAACCCGGAACCCAACAGAAGGATTTCGTTCAAAGATATTTGCAGTTCGCTTGCGACAAAGAATTCGGGGCATTCCAGCCCTGCTCAGCCCGCCAATCAAAAATCCATTGAACATAAGTTCCCAGCTGAATCGGAGGAAGCCATCAATGATCATCATAGTGGGTATTTGCAACCGATTATGCACAGGAATGGCATTGTGTACTCGGAATTGAGTATTAGAAGTAGTTCTGAAGAAATATTTGAGTGATCTGAGTTCCGTGTGCTGATTTGTCTATAGTTAAGGTTGGAAAATGTGTTGTGTTTTTTTCTTCTCAGGATTCATTTGATATGTGAGAATTTAAAAAATTACAAAACATAAACTATTTAATTTATATATTTCCTACTTATGCGTAAGTTGTATTGAAATAACCAATCTAAATTAACAGAACATTGAAAAAAGCAGTAAAACGTTGAGAAATACCCCTTATATATAGGCTGAGGGGGGAAGTATGTTAAGACTGAAAAGCAATCAGATAAAAAAGACTAACTTGCTTCTTATGGAGCGAAATTTCAGGGTATAGCAAGAAATTTCTCAGCAATTATGGTGTAGGAATTTTGGACAGGGTGGCAAAAATCAACAATGGAGAAATGCCGGTCGTAACCAAATTTTTCACATTCCGACTAGGTCTACGTTCTCTATTAATCATTTGGAAGAATGCAGAATATGTTCATGAAACGTCTCATTTTTATCAATATTTTTGCAAGGAAGGAAAAAAACAAGAGCCGATATCGATTCAAATTTATTTTGTCCTTACCCGAATAGAAATGAGAGATACATTTTGCCGCAAGAATCACTAATATTCTTCCCCGAAAAGTTTTTTTTGGATAAGTGCGATGTTTGAAAATGGTTCAACTTAACATGGAATAGAAATTTGAAAGACGATTGTGCTTTGTGTATGACTGACAACTTGAAAATCATCAAAAAGATTAAAACAAAAAGAA